CCCTACTCTGTCTCTTCTGCCTTTTCCCCTCTAGCTTCTTCTCTCTCTGCAGTTATTTCTCTTCTTGTTACCTGTTTCCCCATCTCTCTTTGTTCTTAGATGTCTTCAATCAGTGATTCAAAAATTTAAATTATTAGGTTTTCTTCCTGTAGCATTTGAACTGAAATGGCACTGAACTAGTAAAATAGAACATCGCTTTTAATTCTTGGCCATGTGAGGGAGTTCTGCACTTTATTAATGTAAAGTTTATGAATTAAAAATGTGTTGTTCTGCTTTCTACTTTTCCTTTAATAGAAGCATTTATATTTATTTTAGTGGAAATTTATGATTGCTTATAAATTTATTGCCTCCTGGGAACATTTATAATTTTACATTTGGGGTAGAATTTATTTTTTTCAGTCTTATTTTGTGTACATTTTTTACATAGTAAAAGTAATTCAGTTCAACTTGTAAAAACAATTTAAAATTTATTTCCCATCATTCATATGCTTTTAGTGAATACTCTTCCACAACCTATTTTTTTATTTCCAGTTATTTAATCATTTCCGTGATTGAACATTTAGATTATAGGAAAATGTTAAAAAAAGGACCTATGATTAACATATAGGAAGTTTATGTGGAAGCTTCTATACACACACATATAGCACTTAATTTTGCTCAGATGTTCCAGGAAAAGAAAGTTGATCCCAAGTAGCTATTAAATGCTTTTTTTTTTTTAAGAAAAATTATTTTTGGCCACGCTGTACAGCCTGTGGGATCTTAGTTCCCCAACCAGGACTCCATCTGTGCCCCCTGCATTGGAAACGCAGCGTCCCAACCCCTGGACCGCTGGGAAAGTCCCTAAAATACTTTTGATACTTCAGAGATTGACTGCATAGCAGACATTAGAAAAATTCTTCAAGTGACCAAATATGGGTGAATTTCTTATATTCTTAAGGTTTGTGAGAAATATAGTCGGAGTTGCACTCAGTGAGCTATTTTAATATTTAAAGAAGACCCCTAGATAATCTATATTTTATCACCTTCATTAGGGCATAATTTAAAATAATTTTTAATTGTTTTTTGTTTATTTAATACTGTCTAGTTGTTTATCTAGTAATAAAGGGGTATGGTGTTTTAATTTTCATTTATTCTTACTTTAAAAGAAATTTTGCTTTGTTGATAATATGTGTGCTTTAATGGGGTGAGGTATAGTTATTTGATTTGCATTTCCCTGACTGGCAAATAACAATGTGTTAACATCTTCTCATGTGTTTCTTAGTCATTTGTATATCTTCTCTGGGAAATTGACTATACAGATTCTTTTGCCCATTTTCTAGTTAGGTTATTTGTCTCTACTGTTGAAGTGTAGAGTTATTTATATATTCTAGATAAAAGTCCCTTATCAGATAGATGATTTGCAGATCAAATTTGCAGATCATTTTCTCCCATTCTGTGTGTTGTCGTTGGTCAAACCTTTTTCAAAAAGTCATTAAAAATTCATTTAAATTTGGTGGAACTTCTCTAAGACATTCCTGATGTTAGCTTATTCACAAAACAATTTATTAAATCATCACCTCAAAAAAAAAAAAAGTCAGAGCCTCTGCTAAGCTATTTACCTCTCAAAACCAGCTGCTGCTTCAAATAGCTGATATTTGAAGAATATAATATCAATAAATATTCAGAACAGACATGAAAACACAAATTTCCTGCACCTGTCTGTGAGTATCTAGATGCTTAGATTCTCCTGCTTTCAACAGAGATATAGAAAAAGCTCATTTCTGGTCTGTGCCTCTGTGGGAAGATTGAGGCTGCCAAGAATCTTGCTTCCTGGTTTAAAAGTCTCCCTGTATTGTTGTGGTTTATGTACATTATGATGATATTGAAGCCTGTAAGATTCTATGAAGTCTTCAGTTCATACAAAACAGTTAAGTCATTTTCAGTATGGTTTGTTGGTTCTTTGAAGATTGATGACCCATATACTTTAAAATTTTAATTCTGTTAACTAGTAGAATAGCAACCAGAATGCTTCATCCCAACATCATACTGGAAATTGAAACTATTAAAGTAAAGCTTTAAAGACACTATAAAATTAGTACTTGCTTGCCATAGAGTGTTCAGAAACTATAGAGAAATTTTATGAATTATTCCCAGTGCTACCACTTAGAGGCAGCCACTTTACATTTTTTTTTTTTACTTTAAATATTTTTAATGTATTCCCTTCCAATGTTTTTCTTTTCGCATGTTCTAAAATACAGCTTCTTTGAAATCTGCAAGTGCGTGCTTTTTCCATAAGACTTTTTATCCTTAATGGGGTTGAGCACAGCCTTTGTCTTCTATTCAGTGTTGTGGTTAAGTCCATAGCAGTTACTTAACCAGTAACTTTTTATGAGTAATAGAAATGGCATGGTAACTGTTTGCTGTTGACACTTAAACACTACCGTTGAATGACACTTGCTGGCTAGTAGTAGGTCTTAATGTGGGGACACCTACACTGCCTACAGTGTTGGGTCCCTGAACATCAGGACAATATATAGTATGACTTTCTAATCAATGTAGGACGGATAAGTTGGGATGTGAAATAAGCTAGAGAACTGCCTCCATGAGATGGCCTTGGCTAAGTTAGAATCAGGAATGGGCTATTGGAAGTGGTTTGTTCTGTTTCTTTGGTAGCTGCTTTTTTCCCCCACTAAAGGGAGTTAATTTATTTTCCTTCGGATTATAAAAAAATTTTTGTAAATTTTGGCTGTGCGGGGACTTCCTGTGGCACTCGGGCGTTTCACTGTGTTAGGTGTGGCCTTTCTGTAGTTGCGACAGTGGGAGCTTCTCTCAGGTTGTGGCGCGTGGGCTCAGTACTTGTACTGTGTGGGCTCGGTAGTTGCCCCGTGGCGTGTGGGGTCTTAGTTCCTGGACCATGGGTCAAACCTGTGTCCCCAGCGTTGGCGGGTGGATTCTTAATCACTGAACCACCAGCGAAGTCCCCATACTATCTTAATTACTATAATTTAATAGTAAGACTTGAAGTTAGGTGGTAAGTTCTCCAACTTTGTTCTTTTTCAAGATCGTTTTGGCTCTTTGCTTTGCCATTACATGTAAATTATATTACTTAAAAAATTGATTATTAAAATATTTTTGGTTGTGCTGGGTCTTTGTTGCTGTGTATGGGGTTTCTCTAGTTGCAGCTGGTAGGTGTTACTCTTCATCTAGTGCATGGCTTCTCGTTGTGTGGGCGTCTCTGTTGCAGCTCACAGGCTCTAGGTGCATGGGCTTCCATAGTTGCAGCCGTGGACTTCAGTAGTTGTGGCCCATGGGGTCTAGCTGCTCCTTGGCTATGGAAACTTCCCAGACCAGGGATCAAACCTGTGTCCCTGCATTGGTGGGCAGATTCTTACCCACTGTACCACCAGGGAAGTTCTGCATGTAAATTTTAAAGTCAACTTGTCAGTTTCTTAAAATCCTGTACAGATTTAATAATTCTGAAGATTTTTCACATGATGAGTGTGATGTTCTTACCTTCTTTAAAAAAAAAACTTTAAGTGGAAGATACAGGCATACCTCGGAGATATTGTGGGTTTGGTTCCAGACCACTGAAGAAGACAGGTTTTTGGTTGTCCTGTGCATGTAGAAGTTATGTTTACACTATCCTGTAACCTGTTAAGTGCACAATAATAGCATCATTTAAGAAAACAGTATGTATACCTCAATTAAGAAATACTTTATTGCTAAAAAACACCATAACAATTAACAGCATCAAAGGTCACTAATCACCATGACAGATATAATGAAGAAGTTTGAAATAGTGTGAGAATTACCTAAATGTGATCAGATGTGAGGTGAACCAAATACTATAGAAAAAATGGCACCTCACTCCTTAGACTTGCTCAATGTAAGGCTGAGCATACCTTTAATTTGTGCAGAAAATCGAATTGCAGTAGAGTGGGATATGCCTGCAGATCATTTTGAATATGATGCTTTTCATTGTACTGTATGTAATGCAGGTTGGTAGAGACCATACTATAAATTCATTATTCTTATGTCTTAAGTTAAAGATATAAACACTGTGTCACGCGAAATAAACTTTAAATTGAAGAACTCAGGTTGTTTGTGCAAGAGAAGGACTTTGTGCCTGCTTATGTAGGGGCAAAGTGCAAAGATAGTATTCAGCTAGATGTGTGGTTTTGTGGATTTTCCTCTTTCGTGTTTCACATTTTTAGGGGCAGCACCACACACACAGCATGTGGAATTACAGTTTGTGGGATCTCAGTGCCCTGACTGGAGATCAAACCCTGGCCTCCACGGTGGAAGCATGGAGTCTTAACCGCTGAATTGCCAGGAAGGTTCCCCTTTTTGGAATTTTTTACAAAATTAAAACAGTACAAGGTGGTCCAGGTGCTAAGATTCAGTACTCCCAGTGCGTGCAGGGGGCCCGGGTTCAGTCTCTGGTCAGGGAACTCGACCCACATGCCATGACTAAGAGTTCACGTGCCACAGTGAAGAACAGACATCCTGCCTGCTGCAGCTAAGGCCAGCACAGTCAGACAGATAGGTGAGGTTGTACGTCGTCGACTCCCTCATTCAGAAGTGTCAGTCTTAACAGTCACAGTTCATTGTCAGTAAAAGGTCTGTATTTACACAACTGAATTAAATGGGATGGTTTAAAAATCTTGAGAAAACTGCTAAGTATTGACATTTGTAGTTTATATCAGGAAGATAAGTGTTTAGTAAGGTTTTTTTTTGACAGTGTGCATATAAATTGGTTAGTGGCCAGTTTGCTGTTCTAATATTTTGTTCATTTTCAGAACATGTAGATTACAGGATTGTTTTTGTATAGAAAAATGGTTTCTCCTCTTTTCTGCTTTCTTTTTAAGATGTTGGGACTGAGAAGTTTGAGGTTGTATCAGTCCTGGAACCCTTTAGTCTTCTGGGGTTTTTTGGTATCTAAATTTTCTTATGATAGTTTGTTTATATCCCTTTGAGGCGTAATGTGGCTGAGACATATTTCTTTGTTTTTCAGGTTCTAAATGGCTTCTAAGAAGTTGGGTGCAGATTTTCATGGTAAGTCGACTGTTAAATATTATGGTTTAAGTTTTGATCTGATCAGAGAATTTGAAATCACATTGGTAAATGTCCCTTTTTGTTTATTTAAATGAGCCGATTGAGAAAAATAAAGTTGTACGACAGTGTAGCATATATGCATTCCATAGAACTTCATATATAACTTTAATATTGAAGCATTTCTTCAAATGGCTAGTTAAACTTTTGAGTGTCATTGTGTTTATTATACTCAAACTAATGGAGATGGATAGGAAGCCTGTTTGTTTTTATTGTTCTTCAGCAGTATTTTGAAGTAGTTACCATGCCCTTTCTTATTCGCTGGTCCATCTCTTCTCCATCAGGTGTGAACAATTCTAAGCCTTTAATTAACGTTTTATAATGTTTTGATTTCGGTATTTTCCCCCCATAAAAAGAAGTAATTTACTACAGATGAGGCATGATTAGCAGGTCAATATTTTACAGAAGTATTGGTAGTTGTAATGACAATTCTGGGCTTCTGTAGTGGCTCAGCAGTAAAGTATCCTCCTGCCAATGCAGGAGACACAGGTTTGATCCCTGGGTTGGGATCCCCTGGAGAAGGAAATGGCAACCCACTCCAGTATTCTTGCCTGGGAAATTCCATGGACAGAGAGCCTGGCAGGCTACAGTCCATGTGGTGGCAAAGAGTTGGACACGACTTAGCAACTAACCAACAGGAATTACAATTTTGTATTTAAAAACTAATAGTTTATCATCTTTTTCTGAGATAAAACCTTCCAAAATGAATACATTAATAAACTTTGTTATCTGCATTTGATAGGAAAGGAAGTACCTCGGAAGTTAAAATTAGACCATCTTTTCATAAGTAAAAGATAAGAAACACCAGAAATATCCAGATAACACAGTTATTTTAAAAGGGGTTTTAAAACTATTTAAAACTATTTTTAAAACCATTTTAAAAATTATGTCATTGTAAAAGTGATTTGTTAGACTGAATGGCAACATGTATCATGCTCTTCTGATCTACAAAATATCACTAGCTGAGTCAGAGTAGTACAACAGTTACTATGGTTTTTAACTTGTTTATATATTTTATGCAACAGCTTTAATATTTTGAACCACCACTGTGCATATGCTTACATACATTGCTTGCATATGTTTTGTTAAATCCTTTTGGAACAGTCATTCAAACTCTGGAATTTGTATTCTGTGTAACGGGTCAGGCATCAGATCTTACAGGTAAGCTAACTCCGTTAAGGATTATTACAGGACTTTTTCAAAGTGTTCACATGATATAGAGAGGCAGATCTTAGTTGCCTCTGGGTCACTTTTTGAAGGGAAGAGAGAGGGAAGACCTAGGAGAGAAAAGAACAAGGAAACTCCGTTTTCATTGGAGTGAAAATAAGTTGGACCTTAGTTTATTATGTATTCCAGCTAAACAGTCTAGAGAGAAGATAGATTATAATTCTGATCAGTGAAGATTAATTTTTTAAGGACTTCCTCCTCTTTACATTCCTAACCAAAGTATTATTGTTTAAATGAGACATTCTATCCGAGTAAAATTTGAGATTTTCCCTCTTTGGCTTCTGCTTTAATTCGCTGAGCTCCTACTTGAATTTTGGTGGCTTTAGTTCAGTTTTTAAAATAAAGAATCTTATTTTTAGATACCATATAGTTTAAGGAATAGAAATTAAAGCGAATGAGTGGAGAATATTTAATAGGCATCTTGTAGGCATCTGAATGCAGGAAATCAAATTCTGCCTGGCCTTTTACAAGGCTGAAATTAGAAACACAGGAAACCAAGTCTACAGCTCTGTCCATCTCTTGTGCTCTTCTCTGCGGACGTGCTCCATTTTTATTCTGTTTATAGACTTGCTTTCTTGACCTACTTGTGTAGAGTGGCACAGGGCCAAAAATGGCCTCCCTAGTTATGTTTGCTTCTTGATACTTGATTTTTGAACTTAAGTGGCTGGCATATATCGCTAAAGTTTTTGTATCTCCTTGTCAAGGGAGTATCTGATTTGACACCATTTAGTTTATGAGCCTTTGGGTTGGTCCCCGCTAAGTTAGGTGTTATCTGGTTGGGTATTAGATTGTGTGTGTGTGTGTGTGTGTGTGTGTGTGTGTGTGTAATTCTAGGTCATTTGAAGTGTGCACAAAAAGGTAACAGCTGCTCTCATGACTGAATATGAAAATACTTTTTAAAATTTAAATAGTTGGGCTGCCTATATCTTATACTATGCTGTCTTATAACTAGTATTTTATTTTTCTTCAAGTTCTTTCTTTTCAGCTGAGATTGAACTTCTTTCACGGTCATCAGTAACCATATACACCTAAATAATAGAAAAAGAGATATAGAAACTTTTCAAAGACCTTTAAAAATATTTTTCTTATATTATGCAAATTGCAAATCTTTGGCTCAGTTTAGAGCCAGCTTTTCTGAATGTCAGTCTTTAATTTTTAATTAATTTTTCACTTGTTTTATCTGAGAAAAAGTTATTTTCCAGAAGTGAATTTTAAAGGATTTTAAAAAAAATGTTTCAACAAACAAATGACTTTTTAGTATCTGGAAAAATACCTTGAGATTCTAATTTGAGAAAAAAGTGTCTTTGTAATTGGGCTTAATAAAACTAAACTCCCTCCTTTGAAAGGCCAAGCTGTCATATTTATGACTGTTTTTAGCTAACTTTTAGAAATGTTTATTTTGCTCTTTGTGTAATTTTTACTAAGATATTGAATTACTTTTTCTGCTGAATGATAGAAAAAAATGTATATATTTATTTTTTGGCCACACTGTGTGGCGTGTGGGATCTTAGTTCCCTAACCAAGGGAACGTGTGTCCCTGCAGTGGGAGCTCAGAGTCTTAACTGCTGAATTGTCAGGGAAGTCCATAGATTGTTTTAAAAGTTGATGTGTTACTGCTATTTTTTAAGTAACAGTGTAATATAGAGAAGTCAACCATCCTTTTATCATTTTCTTCTGTACATAATATGATGCCCATCTCCCCTCTTTTAAGATTTTAGCTTTTGTTTGCAACATTTTGACTATGAGGTACCCTGGTGTGATTTTTCTGTTTTTACCCTACTTGGAGTTAGCTAAACTTCTTGGATGTCTTTTACTGCTTTTGAAAATTTGCAGCCATTATCTTCTCTCTCATTTCTTTTGCTGTGTATATCTCTCTCAGCCTTTTGAGACTAACCACATGCTCATTAGGCTATTTGCTATTGTCCCAGAGATCTCTTAAGACTCGGTTCCATTTTTTTTTTTCTCTTTGTGTTTTAATTCTTTTAATTTCTTTTGACCTAATTTCAAGGTCTTTAATTCTTTCCTCTTCTGAGTATTTTCTTCTGATTAGCATAGCCTGGCTTATGAACTATCAAAAATTTTATTCTCTCATACTGAATTTACATTTGTTTCCATTTGTCTCTCTTTATTTCCACTTCTTTGTTGAAATTCCCCATCTGCTCACACATATTCACCTATTCCATTAGATCCTTTAACACATTGATTACAGTTTTTTTAAAGTTCTCTGAGAATTCCAGTATCTTTGCAATCCCTGCATTTGGGGGGTTCTTTTGATGATGGATCACTTTTTCTTGCTTTTTTGTGTCTTATTTTTGATTTAACGCCAGACCCTGCATATTAAAAAGCTGATTTTATAGGTTATCTTGTTTTTTGTTAGGGTGTGGATGACTTTTTCTTTTGACTTCTTATCTTGTAGTGATACTTACATGATTGTGTGTATGTGTACATGTGTGTGTGTTTGTCTTTCCATTTATTTATAGATCTGATTTTGCAGCTGTTAACCTGATTTACAGCTTTAAGGTAATGATAGTTAATGGAATTGCCATTTTCACCTAATTTTAAATTTGATCTAGTCTTTTTTAAAAACCTCAATTTGAACACACAGTTCAAATCTGCATTAAGCGTAATCTGTTTGCTACCCTCTATTAGGAATTTCTATCCCCATGTAGAATTACATTTTTTTTTCAGAAAATCAGGCAGGTTACAAGATCATAAACATATCAGCAATTTAGAAAGAAAGGAAACAGAATGAAACCATCTCAGAATTTATCCTGAGTCATTTACACATTCAGCCTGTTTCCTTCTACCATGGCGTAATGGCAGGCAGTGTGCAGAAACTGACCTCAAGGAGAAACCCCTCCATCAGAGATGTACTTTGTTTTTTTAAATGAAACTGAGGGTAATGGTCTCAGATGTTTTAGGAGGATCTTCAGTAATAAAGAATGAAACTAAAAGATACTTGGGTTGAGCCAGAAAATTGTTAGCCACAGTGCTTAATTCTCTTGGCCATGTGGTTGAGGTTTTATTGAATCTATTTAATAATAAAATGTATTGAGATACAAGAGAAATTGATGTTTTTAAATAGATATTCTGATATATTGGCTAAAAATGAATAGTTCCTAAGGTATATAGTTGGTTATATTTGTAAAAATATTCTTTGTAATCCTCAAAGCAACCTCATTCAGTTGTACTAATCTCTGTCCATTATTCAAAAAGTTGCTTTTTGTTGCTGTCTCTTAAATCCCTTTTGCCTTTTAGCTTTAACTCCTCCTCCCAATAATCATGAAACTTGTTTACTCACTCCCTGTTAACAAAGCCTGGGGGAGGGGACAGAAGGTTAGGGAACGCGATAAATCACCGGGCATTGGCTTTGTTAGTGAAATGAAACTGCTTTTTAAACCAGTTACCTGTAATTGGTGCTAATAAAGGGAAATCGCAGTTGTTTCAAGGTGTTCTACTTGATCTGGTCCGTATCTAAGCCAAGACCTACTTCTGTTTATAGAATAGAAGTCGTCTGTGTGCATATACAGCACTGTCATAATTTTCTAACTGGAAGGTGTGCAGGGAAACTGAACACCTTTCTTTAAAGTTATTATCATTTGGCTCACACATCTTCAGTACTTTTTTTTTTTGTAGTTCCCCCCCCCCCTAAACTCCCCATTACCAAACTCTAAAAGAGCTATTCATTTAAGAAAATTTTGTTAGTATTAACGTGGATAGGTTTTCTTATATTTATCATATATGCACATAAGTATTATTATACATAGGATTTTTAAAATATGTATGTGTCATATAATTAACCTACTTTGTGTACTTAAAATTTTTTTAAACAGAAGACTTAATTTTGTGATTATTAACTTGACTGTAAGTCTTTCCAGTGCTGCTTAGAAAATACTAGTTCAGCTTTGTTTCCAGTTAAGCAGGGACCTAGCTGAAGGTAGACTCTTTCTTTTGAGCACCTGTTTTCATGGAAAACAGGTCAAACTTCTCTACAAGTAAAAAGAGCCTTGCTTTTGATCTCTGTACTGTAAAGGATTTTAAGTGGCAGAAGGTTTTAGTGTTGTAAGCAGGGTTTTGTTGGTGAGCTGTGATGGTACCTGATTGTTTGTTTGTTTGTTTTGGTACCTCTGGTACATTTTTGTGACTTTTTACAGAGCCTTACAAATGTGCTTACATCTTGCATGAATATCTGTTAAAATATTTTCATCACTTGCTTTGCCATTTTATGTAAATCATTTTGAGTTTTAATAAATACCAAGAGAAGTATAAGACCATGTGGTCTTTAGTCTCATTGAGCAGATCTCATCTGCTGGATGTTATGTTGAGCCTAGGAGATGTGGATAGGAATTTGATCAAAGTCTTGATCAAAGTCTTTGGTAGGGGGTGGGCAGGGAGTGTAAGGAAACAAACTATTAACAATACAGAGTGGTAAGACCTGTTCTGAGATTTGAGAAGGAAGTTTTTCTTAAGCTCGTTCCTAAAGAACAAGACATGATTAATCAAGTAAATAAGGGTGGGAATGTGACAGGCATTGGTGCCTGAGAAAACTTATATAAATACGACCAATTTGAAAACTGTGAGAATGTTAACAATTATGGTTGTGCCTCAGAAAAATTATTAAATTGAACACAATTGTGGATTTAATTTACTATCTGAGTGAGAGACAGTTAAGATGTTTTAACTCTAGCCAGAGGTTATATGGGAAAGAGGTAGAAGCTCTCCCCCAAGGGTAGGAACAGGAGCCTTCTTTCTGTTGGAGGTTTCAGGTGTATCAGAGCAGTGTCTACTGCTCTTGAGAAATGGGAATGATGACAAGATTACAAATATATCTTGACCTTGATAAGTCTTGAAATCTACAGAGTTTTTATTAAGAGAAGCCTCTTCATGGAAGATGTGTAGTTGTCTTAATCTGTCCATGAGAATACTCAAGAGGATACACATGTGTGAGACCCAGAAACAAGCCTTATTCTACTAGCTGCTAATATTCAAAAAGCAAAATTTATCAACTGTATTTCATTGTCCCTGATACTTCTGCCAGCAAGTTAGCCCCAAACCTGATCAGAAAAGAAAAGATGGTCTGATTTGGAGTGTATACCTAGTAAGATTCATAGACAAGAATGACTTCATTTTGTCTGATCCTATCAGTTGATTATAATGTCCCATCTTTCTGTATTACTCATCTGTGATGGACAGAGAACATTTAGGGAGCTAAAAGCAGTTCAGTTGTGTATGGTTTGTGTCTCCTGATAATCCTTGTCTGATTCCCCTGGTCTTGTCTGGTTTTCCTTCCACATCTCCAAAATATCACTTAAAAAATTTTTTTAGAGTAGTTCTTTGTGTTAATTAAAAAATGATCCTTACTGGAGTAGAGAAATCCTAACCAAAGAGGTTCTTTTGTGGAGATTCTGTCAAGATTCTGTCATCAGTTCAGCAGTATTTAATAAGTGCCTTATATGTGCTGGGCAGCACTGTAGGTTTTGAGACTACATCAGTAAATAAAACTTAAATACTTGCAAGTTACTTTATTCTATTGGGCAAGACAGACAATAAATGCAATTAAAATGAAAATTACGTAATATGTTAGAAGGTAATAAGTGCTATGGAGAAACATAGATAGTAATGTGAGATTACTGTGGTTAGGGTGTGGGTGTAATTTTTTAAAGGGTGGTCAGGGTAAGCCTCACTTAGAAAGGGACATTTGAACAAAGACTTGAAGGAAGTGAAGGAGTAAGCCATGTGACTATCTGAGGGAAGAGCATTCCAGATAGAGGGAGCAGCCAGTGCAGATTTTTTTGAGGTAATTTTGACCACATCATGGTTGAGGAGTAGAGAATCACTGAAACCTAGTGCAGTAAGCCTGGAGTTGAGGGCGAGAGAGGAAACAGGCGTCTGGGGAGGCCTTTTAGGTTGTGTGAGTACTTTGGCGTTCGTGCCAAGTATTCCTGCGAGCTAAGTCGCCTTAGTCCTGTCCTCTTTGCGACCCTATGGACTGTAGCCCGTCAGGCTCCTCTGTCCATGCCCATTCTCCAGGCAAGAAAATGAGTAGGTTGCCATGCCCTCCAGGGGATCTTCCCAACCAAAGTAAAATCAAGTAGCCTCAAGTGGGAGTTCTTCCTTAGAGATCTAGGGTCAGAAGAAGGTAAGCAGTCAGAGAAGAAACTGTAACTTCTAGTCTTAGGATAGCATAAATTAATGTTGTATCCTAGACATAAGATTATACAAAAACAAATAATAAGTTCTTTGCTGATATTTTCTACTTTATTTTTGATTGTAGGGACTTTCAGTTACCTTGATGATGTCCCATTTAAGATAGGAGACAAATTCAAAACACCAGCTAAAGTTGGTCTTCCTATTGGCTTCTCCTTGCCTGATTGTTTGCAGGTTGTCAGAGAAGTACAGGTAAGTGGTTATTTTTAGTTAAAGTTTAGTACATTTAAAATTTTAAGGAGTAAGAATTTGATGTATAGTGCAATAGAAAAAAAAACCACTTCTCTTATTTATGTTTCTGGTAGCTCCTGTTATTGCTTGGCTCACATTGTCTCTCACACACGGGCATGCACATGTGCCCAGCCCCCCCAACACCTCCGTATATGTTTATATATCTTTTACAGATCTCGTATACTCTTGTTAGGTTGTATGTTCCTGGGGTTCTGTACCTTGCCCAACACAAATTACTATTGCTTACCTGACTTGCTGCTCCTCTTTCCTTCTCTGAATGTGCTCATTACCTTCTTGGTCCCTCAAGTTACGTAGTATTTTCTCTCTGCTGTGTTGCCCCTTTGCCGTTCAGTTTATCCTTACCTTAGTTTTTCACCTGGGCTATTTCCGTAGTCTCTTTAATGGGCTCCTCTGCTTACAGAGGAGCTTACAGAATTTTCCTTCTATTTTTCATATTGTTTCTAGAATAATATTCCTGAATATAAAAACTGACAATGATTCACCAACCCTTACTGAATCAAGTCTCGACATAAGATTATGGTCGAGTACCCTAGCTTATCACCTCCTCCACACTCGCTCCAAACCAGGACACTGGCGGTTTGTCGGATGTGCTACATGCACTGCTTGTCTGTATCACGCTTTTCTCATGAGTGCTTATATCCGCTTGGAATAGTCTCCTCTTTCTCATTGTACTGAAAGTGGTCTGCCTGTTAAAAATCTTATCTTTTCTTCTAGACTGTGCTTGAATGCCATTCCCTCAATAGCTTCTTTTTCAGCCCTTGCATCTTTAAAGCTCAGTTAGATATAAGTGTACAAAATTACACCTTGAAAGCAGCAAATGCCCCCGTGCTGTGTGACCTCCTACCCTTACTGAGTGCCTGCCTTTGAGGGACTCTGCTGTGGCTGAGCTTAACAGTTTAGAGAAGAGGTTAGATGGAAAAACAGAAGGGTACACTACTCACCCAAATACTTACTTCTGTGACTTTAGATTTTTAAAATACAACTTCTTGGCAAAGACGGGGAATTTACTGAAGCATTACCATGTTACTCTAAAGTGTATTCTTTGGGAGAAAAATAAGATTTGGGAATTCCCTGGCAATCCAGTGGTTAGGATTGTTCTGTGTTTTCACTGCTGAGCACCTGAGTTCCATCCCTGGTTGGGGAACTAAGATCCTACAAGTGGCATGGCACAGCCAAAAAATACTAATAAAAACTTCATTTTTTCTTCTAGTCTTTAGTAGGGAGTAATCATAATGGGAGAACTTGTTACATTTTTAAATAATAGCTTTATTGATTAATAATTCACATACCACAGAATTTTCCCTTTTAAGGTATGCAAATAAGTGGAGTCTTTTTATTATTATATCTGGAGTTGTATAACCATTCAGTTCAGTTCAGTCGCTCAGTCGTGTCCGACTCTTTGCGACCCCATGAATCACAGCACGCCAGGCCTCCCTGTCCATCACCAACTCCCGGAGTTTACTCAAACTCATGTCCATTACCACCATCTAATTCCAGAACATTTTTATCACCCTGAAAAGAAATCCAGTGTATATTAGTAGTCATTCCCTATTTCCCCCTCCCATCAAACCCTGGCAACCACTAAATCTACTTTCTGTCTTCATGAATTTGTCTATTCTGGAATATCATATAAATGGAATAATACAATATTTAGTCTTTTATATATGACAGTATATAAATACATATGTGATAGGTTTATTTTATGTAACATGATTTCAAGTTTTACCCATTGATTTTTATAGCTGAATAATTCCATTGTGTTGATATACCACTGTTTGTTTATTCATTCATCAGGTGATAAACTTTTTTTTTTGGTGGTACTGAGCGGCATGTGGGATCTTAGTTCCCTGACCAGGTGTTGAACCTGTGCTCCCTGCAGTGGAAGCTAGGAGTCTTAACCATTGGAGCTCCAGGGAAGTCCACAGTTGATAGACATTTTTGACGGTTTACAGTTTTTTGGCTTTTAGGAACAATACTGCTGTGAATGTTTGTATACAGGTTTTTGTGCAGACATATGCTTTCAGTTTTCTTGGGTATGCACATAGGAGAGGAATTGCTGGATCATATATTAACTGTGTTTTAACTTTTGAGGAATTGCCAGACTGTTTTCCAGAGTGGCCATACCAGTTTATAATCCTTTCTACACTGCATGAAGTTTCCAGTTTCTGCATATCCTTGCCAGCTTTTGTTATCATCAGTCTTTTTTTTCTTTTTGGCCTTTTTGGTGTGGCATGTGGGCCTAGTTTGCTGACCAGGGATCAAACCTGCATCCCCTGCAGTGGAAGCAGTGTGTCTTAACCACCAGACTGCTAGGGGAGTCCCTCTTTTATGGTGGTTTTGATGTGCGTTTCCCTAGTTTCAGGTAATGTTGAATATCTTACCTGTTTTTGTATACTGAACTGATCCTCCTTTGGTATGGAGAATTTATTGGGCCAGAAGAGATGGCAGTTTCCCATATGAAGTTTCACCTTGTTCTGTTTGCCTGGCGGCTTTTTTATTGGCAACAACAAATACTCAGTAAATAGTACCCTGTGTGCAGGACATTAGCAATATGATTTAAATAACACCTGCATTTTATTTCAGTAGTTCTCATATTATTCACTGCCTCATTGAATCATTCAGAAAATTTGTTTAGAATCCCGTATTTGTTGCCATTGTAGGCTTTGCTAGGAATTTTCTGTTTGGTCTGCATGAAGCCCTAAGGAGTGCCTGGTTCTTTGCCTGCCATACTCAGTGCCCACTGATGACAAAAGAGGAGATCAAGGCTCCAACCTCCGTTCCTGTGTGGGCTAGCTGTAGTGTTTTTGTTCTCTAACTGCAGATAGCTCCCTTACTTTGACTCCTCCGCTCTCTGGGAGGAGGTTAGGCTGTGGTGTTGGTGCTGCTCCCTCTCTATCCAGGAAGGAGTCAGACCTAGAGCCCTAAACAGGTAGCTTGAAGCTTCGTGTAAGTTTTTCATATTTGCCCTTGGGTTTCAGATTAAAAGTCATCAAAGCGAGTCAGTAAATCATGTGGAGACCTTGCACCCAGGCCCAGACAGTTTTCATTGAAAATGAAACAGTAGTGGTGGCCACATAGTGGAGGGTGGCCCTTAGTGTCACAGCTTAGAGCAGACTCTGGTTCACTGATTCATGGGCTGGAATTGCCATGTAATAGCTGTGTAATCTTATAAGATTGTTATAAGCATTAAGTAAAATAGTGCATTTATAATGCTTAACTCTGATTCCTGCTGCTGCTGCTAAGTCGCTTCAGTTGTGTCCGACTCTGTGTGACCCCATAGACGGCAGCCCACCAGGCTCCCCCGTCCCTGGGATTCTCCAGGCAAGAAGACTGGAGTGGGCTGCCATTTCCTTCTCCAATGCAGGAAAGTGAAGTCGCTCAGTCGTGTCTGACTGTTAGCGACCCCATGGACTGCAGCCCACCAGGCTCCTCCATCCGTGGGATTTTCCAGGCAAGAGTACTGGAGTGGGGTGCCGTTGCCTTCTCCCTCTGATTTCTAATACTCCATAAATACTAGATGCTGTTATTATTATCGCACACTCAAAAGTCACATTCTTTTTCACTATAATAATTCTTCTAATTTTTTCTTTCTTTTTTTTTTTAACTGTTCCAAGTATTCTACATTACTTTGGCAACTTAAAAAAAAATCTCAAGGTTTTATTACAGAGGGAAGAAATTTCCAGTTGCTTTTTGGAGTAAAACTTCAGAGACCTGTGTTTACAGGCAGTGGGAAGTTGGTCACATCTGTTTTTGGTGGGGGAAACCAGTTGCAAAATTGGATTTCCTCCCCAGTTAGAAGCAGCAACCTTGGGCCAGTGCTGTTTTCTCACGGTTCCGTTAGAGGTAGAAAGGAATCCCTGTGATGCCCCACGTGTTTTTCTGAGGCTCATTCACTGACTCAGGAGTGTGTAAATGAACTTCCGGACATGTGCGTTTCCAGGCTTCTCTTCTTGTGTTTGCAGCTGAAAGGTTCAGGGATGGAACCTCCTTTCTCCTACTGCGTGTTTTCTTCTCTGAGACTCTTGTCATGGTAGGCCTCTTTCCTCTCTCGTCCCCTCTTTACTCTCACTGTGTCTCCAGACACACTGTTCAGCTTTGCTGCCTTGGGGTGAACACCAGAGGTTTTCACTCCTGTTCTAGGTGGATTTTGTTTAATGTAATAGGTAATTTTTTCCAAGTATACAAATGAAATTTTTATAAATTGATCTATACTTGAAGCTGCAAGTGGAGACAGTGACGATTTGATTTTCTTGGGCTCCAAAATCACTGCGGACAGTGACTGCAGCCATGAAATTAAAAGACGCTCCTTAGAAGAAAAGCTATGGCCCACCTAGACTGCATATGAAAAAGCAGAGACATCACTTTGCTGACAAAAGGTCTGTATAGTCAAAGCTGTGGTTTTTCTAAGTCAGGTGTGGATGTGAGAGTTGGACCATAAAGAACGCTGAGTGCTGAAGAATTGATGCTTTTGAATTGTAGCGCTGAAACTCTTGAGAGTACCTTGGACAGCAGGGAGATAAAACCAGTCAATCCTAGAGGAAATCCATCCTGAATATTCATTGGAAGAACTGATAGCTGAAGGTGAAGTGCCAGTACTTTGGCCACCTGCTGCAAAGAGTCGACTCTTTGGAAAAGACCCTCATGCTGGGAGATAAAGATTGAAGGCAGGAGGAGAAGAGGGTGACAGAGGAGGAGATGGTTTGATGGTGTCACCCACTCAACAAACATGAATTTGACCAAATTCTGGGAGATAGTGAAGGATAGGGAAACCTGGTGTACTGTAGTCCATGGGGTTACAAAGAGTCAGACACGACTTAGTGACTGAACAATGCTTAAAGCTATTAAGGAAGCTTGAAGTGGATTTTTGTGCAGTTTATATTGTAAAATCTTTTTTTAGAAAATTGAGGTAACATTGATTTGTAACACTGTGGAAGTTTCATGTATATAGCATTATGTTTTGACTTAGGTATACACTACAGCACCCTTACCACCAGAATTTCGTTTCCATCTCTCACTACACTGCTGACCTTCTTTACTCAGTTTTTGTCCCTCGGCTCATAACCAACCTGTTTCCTCTCTGCATTCTTGTTTTGTTTTGTATGCTTGTGTGTGTATACATGTGGAATCATGCAGTATTTTATCTTTCACTTTCTGACTTATTTCACTTAGTATAATGCCATCAAGGTCTGTCCATGTTGCAAATGACAAAATTTCATCTTTCTTTAATTTCATGTTGTTTGTGTTTGTGTGTGTGTGTGTTGCACACACATATGTACATACATAAACACACACCCCTCCCCCGCATCATCTTTATCCATTCATCCATTGATGGGCATGTAGATTGTATCTGTATCTTGGTATTGTGAATAGTGATGAACACAGGAGTGCCTGTATCTTTTTGAATTGGTCTCTGTGTCTTCTTTGGATAAATACCCGGAAGTGGAATTGCTGGATCATATGGTAATTCTTTTGAGAAGTTTCCATACTGTTTTCCACAGTGGCTGTGTCAGTTTACGCTCCCACCAACAAGATGTATGAAGGTTCCTTTTTCTCCATATTTTCTCCAGCACTTGCTGTTTCTTGCCTTTTTGATAGTAGACATTTTAAGGGGCGTGAGGTGATACCTTATTGTAGTTTTGATTTGCATTTCCCTAATAATTAGTGATATCGAACATCTTTTCATGTGCCTCTGTCCATCTGTATGGCTTCTTTGGAAGATTCTACTCAGATCCTCTGGCCATATTTTTATGAGGTGGTTTGTTTTTGTTGAGTTTGCGCTGTAAAAATCTTAATTTGAATATGTCTAAATTTCTTGATAAGCACTTTTCCTACAGTTAGAGTACAATCTGTTCATTGTAATTTGGTAGTGGTTTAGAGCATAGAATATATTGTCAGACTGCCTGGGTTCAGATCCAGGCTCAACCACTTAGCAGCATCATGACCTTGAGCATAGCTGTTGTAATGTTGAGAAAATCTAGAGAACTAATACATAAAAAGTGCTTAGAATCATGCATGGCACCTTGTAAGTGCTTCTTAAATACTAGGGCCTATTGTTATTATTGAGCACATAGGACATTGTGTTAGATAATAGAGATCTTAAGAGGGTCTAAAGCCCAGTTGCTGCCCACAGGAGGCTTGTGACAGTGTTGGGGAAGTGTTCTAGAGAAAGGTTAAAGCTCCATGTGGTCACACGTGCTCAGCGTCACATGGTAGAGACAGACACTGTTTAAGAGTTTAGAGGGAGGAACGGGCCATCAGGAGAGCCTTGTAGAGGAGCTGGCTGAGTTCTGCCGGAGCCTCCAGTGAAGAACTCTAGGAAGGGAAAGGGCCTGAGGGGAGAGGAGCAAGGAAGCAGCAAGGTACATATGACCTGGGTATATGGTTAGAGATGGTGGGAGGTCTTCCTCAATAATTTCTATATGTAACCAGGGAGCAAAGTCTGATTAAATCTTACAAGCTTAGGAAGTCTTAGTTTTCCTGAGGTGGGATCCTCCCGTGCACCTTAAATGCTGCCTTGTCTAGTTCCCTTGTTCCAAGGTGAGAAAGAAGTGAATTTGGTGGGGGAGGGATGGCCACCTGGGTTCACACCTTTCTCTGATATATCTTTGCAGTATGACTTCTCCTTGGAAAAGAAAACCATTGAGTGGGCTGAAGATATTAAGAAGATCCAAGAAGCCCAGTGGGAAGCAGAGCGCAAGGCTGAGGAAGCAGAAGCTAAAGTGAATTCTCAGAGTGGCCCAGAGGGTGACAGCAAAATGAGCTTCTCCAAGACCCACAGCGCAGCCACCATGCCGCCTCCTATCAACCCCATCCTCGCCAGCTTACAGCACAACAGCATCCTCACCCCGACTCGGGTCAGCAGCAGTGTCATGAAGCAGAAGGTTCTCAGCCCGCCCCACACAAAGGCAGACTTCAATCCTGCTGACTTTGAGTGTGAAGAAGACCCATTTGATAATCTGGAGTTAAAAACTATTGATGAGAAGGAGGAGCTGAGAAACATTCTGGTGGGAACCAGTGGACCCATTATGGCCCAGTTATTGGACAGTAACTTGCCTCGAGGCGGCTCTGGGTCTGTGTTACAGGAGGAGGAGGTCCTGGCCTCTCTGGAGCGGGCCACCCTAGATTTCAAGCCTCTTCACAAACCCAATGGCTTTGTAACCTTACCACAGCTGGGTAGCTGTGAAAAGATGTCGCTGTCTTCCAAAGTGTCCCTCCCCCCCATTCCTGCAGTAAGCAATATCAAGTCCTTGTCCTTCCCCAAACTTGACTCTGATGACAGCAGTCAGAAGACACCCAAGATGGCAAGCACTTTCCATAGCACATCCTGCCTCCGCAGTGGCACGTTCCGGAATTCCCTAAAGCCTTCCACCCAAAGCAGTGCCAGTGAGCTCAATGGGCATCCTACCCTTGGGCTTTCAGCTTTGAACTTGGACAGTGGCACAGAGGTGCCAACCCTGACCCCTCCCCAGACGCCTTCCCTGTCTGTCTTGTCTGTGTGCACAGAAGAATCAGCACCTCCAAATACGCGTCCCACGGTAAGCCTTTTAAATCCCCTGCATCACAACGCCACAGATTTCTAAATCCTACCCAGCAGTTGCCACCCTCACATTCTTCTTTTCAGGATTTAGGGAAGGATGGGGCATGACCAAATTGACCTTGATTACATTAAGTACATGTAGTTCTGGGTATTTTTCTGAGGACAGAGATGATTAGCTTTGCACCTAACCTGGTAATGATTTTTTCCTCCCTGTATCTTTTTAATCTTTTCCTTCAAAAAGATAATGTGTAGCATGTGAATGATGTTTTCCTGCCTGATCAGTTTGTTTTTTTCCCATGCTGTCGTGTCCTGTGTTTGCATTTTTTAAAGGTTTGCTCTCTTTGTGCTTTTTTACTTTTTCCTGTTGACTTTCTTAATTTTTTTTACACTTGCTTGGTACTCCTTATTTTATCTTCTCCCTACTTCCCTCTCCTCCCTCCTCCCATCTCATTCTGCCCTGAAGTTGGCTTCTGTGTGTTTGACTGATTTGGGGTTATGTTTCTTCAGACTAGGTGGTACTTTAGTAATGGGAAGTTTGAGCCAAAGGTTGAAATTGGTATTGGAAGTTTGCCATTTTTAAACCTGTGGATTTTAATACTGCAATTACTTTTTCTTTGGCTAACTACTAAGAATGATGCAGTTTTCTCCAAGGGAGGGAGAGGGGAAGATTGGAACAGACTTAGTGTTTAAGGGTGGACTGATAGAAAAATTGTAACTTGTGTCATCTTGAGTTTGGCCACCTCATGTGAAGAACTGACTCATTGGAAAAGACCCTGATACTGGGAAAGATTGAAGGCAGGAGGAGAAGGGAACAACAGGATGAGATGGTTGGATGGCATCACCGACTTGATGGACATGAACTTGAGCAAGCTCTGGGAGTTGCCGATGGACAGGGAGGCCTGGTGTGCTACAGTCCATGGGGTCTCAAAGAGTTGGACACGACTCAGCGACTGAGCTGAACTGTATCATCTTGAAGGAAATCTGATTTGGTCACACAGAGAAGTTGCATATACAGGGAGGTTACTTTATGTGGTTGTTTCAGCAGCACAGAACAATATGTTATTGTATTATAGAAGGCATAGAAGTCCAAGAACTTTTGTTATACCAGTTCAGAATTTTAAATAACAGCATATCAAGGCGGTATTTAGAGTCAGGAAGCCTGATTGTATTGGTCGGATATCTCTGAGACCATAATCAGCCTGCTCTTAGCTGGTAGAAAAGATGAGCTTTGGCCTGCCTCAGAAAGAGTGCAAGCTCCCAGCAGTAACGTTCTTGATAAATGATTGTTTCTGTGTGAGTGCTTCCATTGTCAGAGAGCTTACTGCTGCCTGTAAATGTCCATGGACCTTGGCCCAGAGAAACTCGGTAGAGTGCATAAACATCTCTTGTTTTTGTTTAGTTGCTCAGTCATGTCTGTCTCTTTGCGACCCCAAGGACTGTGGCTCACCAGGCTCCTGAAGTCCATGGGATTTCCCAGGCAAGAATACTGGAGTGGGTTGCTATTTCCTTCTCCAGGGGATCTTCCTGACCCAGGGATGGAACTCGTGTCTTCTGCATTGGCAGGTGGATTCTCTACTGTTGAAGTACCCAGTGAAGCCTGTAACATCTCTTAGCATGGGCCTTATCCTAATTCCCCCTGGTTTGTGGTTGGGCTCTGGTCAGCAGGATACTCCTCTCTGCTCCCTAATTCATTGTATGCTTTAGAGAAATTAAAAACACTCCAGAAGGTTAGGGATCCTCAGCCACCACCATCCCCCACTCTCACCCCCATCTAACTTAAAGAGTGTTAAAGTGAACCATTGAGAGACCAAAGCCAGTGAACTAATTGCAGAGGGTATATCTCAAACCAGAACACTCATCATTCTTTGACACGTGTGATTGTGCAGTTTCTTTTGGGCCCATCCATTTTAGGGTACGAGGGTCCCTGCTTCATCCTGGCCTGGGGATTTGCTGCCCTCTGGGGGTAGCTTTAAATAGAGTTGGAGTCGTGATAATCTTTTAAGGAAGTCGAGACCCTTACTCCTAGGGAGCAAAGCCTAGTTCCATCCTGGCTTTCTATCTTAGTGAGTCTTTGAAACTGCTAGTTAGAACCTTTTCCTGGTGAGAGAAGCACTTCTCTTCAAGACAGTGACTGAAGGTAGGGGGTGATGGTTGTCAGCTGGGCCGTATACATCCTTCACATGGGAACTCCCAGGGGATTTCCGGAATTTAGTTCTTGTCATCTATTTCAGGTCCAGTGTTTGGGTCTCATTTTTCAGATTTTCATGTGTCATTGTATAAACTAATCTTAGAAGTTGAGAACTCCATAGGATCATCTTGAGAGGAACAGTCGTGTGATATGCCCTTCTTCTGTGTCCAGCACAGAACTGCCTGGTCTAGCCCAAATCAGTGTCTCTTCCCACTGCATCTCAGCCCTGCCAGAGGCCTTGCTCTGCTCACAGGTTAGGCTCATCTGCCCACCGGGTTCTCTCTCTCCGGGTATGGCTGTATATTCTCTACTCTGTCAGAGTTACTTCAGTGAGACATCTGCCTTTTTCCTTGTACTTGAGTTCTCAATTTACTCACTGTGGCCAGGAAGGATATGAGAAGTGCCAGTTTGCTCTTATATTGTATTTCAAATGATTTCTGATAATATATAATCTCTTAGCTTTTTGGTGCTTGAATCTGTTGATCATTTCTCATGTTGCCATTGTTTTAATACTTACAGAGTCACTCTCCATCTCTAGATTAAAAAAAGGAGAGGCTTCCCTTGCCTATCCAGTGGTTAGGAATCCACACTTTCACTGCCGTGGCCCTGGGTTCCACTCCTGGACAGGACTAAGATCCTACAAGTCATGTGGCACAGCCAAAAAAAGAAATAGGAAAAAAAAAAATAGGAGGCCTCGAAAAAGAAAGACACAAAGAAGAACTGAATGAAACATTTTAAAAAATAAAAAATGAATTTATTTTTATCAAAGTAATACAAGAGTATTTTAATGAAATCAAGTAGCATTTAAAAGGCTTATATTGAAAAAGAGTAGTTCCCCGCCTCACCTCTTCCTGACTCCAGTTTTGCTTCCCATAGTCAGATACTTTTAACTCTTTAAACTGTTTATACTGGGATTTATCTTTGTATTTGTAAATTAGATGCTTACATTGCATTTTCTAAATTTGTTAGACAGGTTTATACTTCCTGTTACAGTAGTTGAGGATTTAGCCCTTATAGTAGCCTTTCCTCCACCTTCTTGTATCTTCCATCATATTTACATCACAAATTTTGGTTCAATTAATGTTAGTTAATATTATGATTGGGATGGTATACTGTAGTGGTGATGAGGATTTTCTTGGTAGCCTTTATTTTTTATAGTTTAACTGCTCCATTAAAAATTCTGTGTAATTTCTTTGTGCCTGTTGCTAGTTTTAACCAAATGCTCCAAGAGTGCCCAAAGACCTAGTGGTAATTTTCTCATTCAAATACATTCAATTTTGTTGGTTAACCTGTTGTTTTTGAATTCTTGAATATCCAAAAATGTCTAAATTTTATCCTCATGTGTGAATAATAGTTTGGCTCAATTTAGATTTCTTAGTTGAAGATCATTTTCCATAAAAAGTTTTAAGGCATTATTTGCTTAAAAGCAAAACAACTTTCAGGGACTTCCCTGGTGGTCCACTGGTTAAGAATTTGCCTGCCAGCACAGGGGACTGAGTTCAGTCCCTGGTCGGGAAGATTCCACATGCCTCGGAGCAGTAAGACTGTGTGCCAGAGCTGTGCTCTGGAGCCCAGGAGCCACAACGCCTGAAGCCTGCACACCTAGAGCTCCGCAGCGCAAGAAGCCCCCATCCCGGAAGCCTGTGCACACAGCCAGAGAGCAGCCCCAGCTTGATGCACCTAGAGAAACGTGCGCACACAGCAGTGAACACCCCGTGCAGCCATAAACAAATAAAGATTAAAAACAGAAAGCTCTCAGATGGAAGTACAAGCACCTCTGATTTCTGGCAGTACTGTGCCATTCGGATTTCTTCCCCTACCCCAATAAGCTTTTGGGATCCTTTTTTTAATCTCTGGAGATTTGACATTTACCAGTGATGGGCTTTCTTCACTTACTGTGCTTGACCCTCCCCGATCCTTTCAAGCAAAGGCTCAGCTCAGTTTTCAAAATCTGGTTGTTGTGGTTTGCTTGTTTTTGGTATTATACTTTTCTGTGTTCTCTGTTCTTCCTATAAACTGGATGTTGGACCTCCTTGGCTGTTTTTCTGATTTGCTATCTCTTTTCTATTTCTTTGACTTTATGTTTTACTATCTGAAAGGTATCCTTGACTATCATACCTTTTTAAAAAAATCTCATAATCTTTTAAATAGAAGTTTTACTTTATTTTAAATTTCCAAGTGCTTTGTCTTTCCCTCTTCTGGTTTGGTCTTATGTTCGTGGCTTTGGCTTTCTATTCACTTTTAAGAGTGAGTCACTAAAAGAAAAACAGTCCAAATGGGGGGAATATATATGTTGGGGTGTGCCTACTGATTGACTGACTAGTTAGTTGCCTTTGAAGTGAAAGTGAAAGTCACTCAGTTGTGTCTGATTCTTTGTGACTCCATGGACTGTAGCCCGACTTCCATTGCTCCTCGGTCCATGGGATTCTCCAGGCAAGAATACTGGAGTGGGTTGCCATTCCCTTCTCCAGGGGATCTTCCCGACCCAGGGATCGAACGTGGGTCTCCTGCATTGCAGGCGGATTTTACCATCTGAGCCACCAGAGAAGGCCTTGAAGAAAGTGAAAGTGAAGTCGCTCAGTCCTTACAGACTCTTTGCGACCCCATGGACTGTAGCCTACCAGGCTCCTCCTTCCATGGGATTTTCCAGGCAGGAATACTGGAGTGGGCTGCCATTTCCTTCTCCAAGGGATCGTCCCGACCCAGGGATCAAACCCGAGTCTCCCTCGTTGCAGGCAGATGCTTTACCGCCTGAGCCACCAGGGCTTTGGAGGGAGCTCTGTAAGACATCAACATATGAAGATCTTGGGGGCTATTAAAGTTACATCTAAGAAATCTGCCTGAAAGCTAAAGAAAGTGAGGATACTGAGATAGGCTTACTTAATTCCGTTTTGGTTCTTGTACCTCACTCTGCCAGATGCTGTGCCTGGTATCTTCATTCCTTTTTGGAATTGATTCCCCTTTTCTAGACTAAACCTTCTATCTCCGCAGAAGGTGGGGCGCGGAAGGTCTGCCTGAGGGTTTTCTGCTGATCACTGCCTTCGTACTTTGCCTTACCCCAACAGTACCTGTTACTTCCAAATGCTGAAACCTTCTCAGGGGTCTCCTGCTGAACTGACTCTCCCATCTCCCACTTGTAACTTCACTGCTTCTGTCAGTTACTCTGCCTCCATTAGCATTCCACCTTCTAAAATTTCATTGAAATACATTGTCCTCTGTTACACCCTCTTTTTCTTTAGTCTTAAAGGTTAATACAGTTTTATCATTTTAGTGGATTTTGGAAGGGAGGATCAATGTATCAGGGCTCAGGCTTTCTAGCTGGCTCAGTGGTAAAGAATCCACCTGCCAATGCAGGAGATGCAGGTTCAGTCCCTGGGTTGAGAAGATCCCTTAGAGGACATGGCAACCCATTCTGGAAAATTCCAAGGACAGAGAAGCCTGGTGGGCTACAGTCCTTGGGTCGCAGAGAGTCAATGATGACTGAGCCACTGAGCGCACACACATATCAGGGCCAGGTAAGTTTCAAGCTCAGAGCCAGGCTCTGACGTCTGGGACCTCCTTCTTGTGTGATAAGTACTGTGCCAGCAATGTGAACAAGATGCTGTTTGGGTACTGGTATTTTCAGGCCCAGTCAGAGCCCGCCCCTAAAAAGACGGAGAGTCTTGGGGCCTGCAGAGTGGCCAGACTGTGTGCTCCAGTCCCCATGCCCTGTCATGACTCTTGTCACCTGATGGCTGAGCCCCAGGACTGCACTCCCTGGAGTGTGCTCTGGTGAGAGGGTTCAGCAGACACTGCGGGTGTTGAGGCCTGTGGAATCTTCTTGGCTTCCCCCAGCTGACTTGGAGGAGAGCATCTGGTTATAGCTATAGAATTTTGAACATGCTTCTAGGATAAGCAGGCTCCTTTCCTCCTCCTTTCCTCTCCCCCACCCCCCCAAAAAGGGAGAGGGTTAAATAAAATTTTCTTGGATGATTTTTCCTGGTTCTCGGGAGATGAGCCAAGTTGTCAGAGAGCTTTTCCCATGGTGATTCTGTCCTTCGGCCTGGGAGTGAGCTGCCTTTTTGCCTTGGGGCTGATTATTATCAGCAGTGGTGGTGGGGTTTAGGTCTGGGAATCTGTCCAGTCAGGCTGGGGGCAGGTGCCTGAAGCCAGTGCAGTAGACGCTGGGCCCTAGGGACCATGTTCCAGTCCTCGAGGGTACCGCCTGGAGGGGTGGTCGTCTTCAGCCTTGCCTCTGTAGGACAGTAGCTGTTGCAGGGAATCAAAGCACAGTACGTGGTGTGGGGCAAAAGGGCAGTGCCCTGAGCATGGGAGCCCTGAGCTGGCCGTCTGCCCAGCCCAGTGACAGATGTGACAACGGACACTGGGACTTGATGGACATGGTTACTGGGACAGTCAGTTCTGGAGTGAGGGGGTTTGAGATGAATGATCCCTCTAGTACTCAGATAACGGCAGTTTAGGAAAGGGATTGTGGAGCCCTGGAGAGAGGTCTTAGCAGCCAGCAAGGTGCTGCCCAAAGGCGGCTTTCAGAACTTCTTCCTCCACTACAAACCCAGGGGTTTTGGGCAGGAAAGCTCATGTGCTTCCATGGTGCTTCCTCACTCTGCAAGGTGGGATGAGGTCAGAGGACAGCCACACTTGCAGGTGTCTTCCCAACTTCTTTGTCCCTCAACTTGAGCTCCCATACCCCAAAGAGGGGAAGAACAGAGTTCTTCCTTAGGATGTCTGGCCAGAGATCTAATCCTGATTTGGTCAGGATTGATAAACCCCTGGATTGGGCCACCTCAGTGACTTGTCTTCTGGGGCCTGGGTCTGTCTTCTTGCATTAATCCTTTGTTTCTCTGCCACCAGGTCACACCTCCTAATTTCTCAGTGTCACAAGTGCCCAACACTCCCAGCTGTCCCCAGGCTTACTCTGAACTGCAGGCGCTGTCCCCCAGTGAGCGGCACTGTGTGGAGACAGTGGTCAACATGGGCTACTCATATGAGTGTGTCTTGAGAGCCATGAAGAAGAAAGGAGAGAATATTGAGCAGGTGAGCGGTTAGTCAGCCACAGGGCCAGGGTAGGAGAGGGGTCCCAGATCTCGGAGCTGGAAGCGCCCTCCATCTGTCCTAGAGTCGCGCAGACTCTCAGCGCCATTCTTTTCCTGAGATGAGGGAGGGCGGCAGGACTCGGGGGCTTCGTTGGGGGTTTCCATCAGTGCTTCTGCTCTGGGACCTAGGCTGAGGGACAGACTTGGGCGTACTGGAGTTAAGGACTACCCACTTACCCCCCTTCTCTGCTTCTCCTGAGACAGTGGCAGAATAGGCTTGCGGTATGGTCAGACGTCTTCTTCCATAAATGTCCGTCCCGTCAGAAGCACCCAGGCAGTTCTGATCCAGGGTACTGGAGCCCCGAGCCTTGGGGGCCCTTTCTGACTCGGGTAGTTTCTTAGGAGAGTACCCTGCCCAGGCTATGGAGCTGACGTCATTTGGGAGATGAGTCAGCTGACAGGAACTCCTCTGAAGACTGTCAGTGCATATTTAGAAGGGTGTGTCTATCAGCAAATAGTCACTGAGGTCCGGCTCTGTTGGACACAATTCAAGGTACAACGTCAAGTCCTCTCCAGGATGTAACAGTCAAGGCGGGGAGCAGACGTGTTGATTGGTGTGACTTTTGGGAAGCACAGAAACAGTGGCAGTCCGTGCTTAACCCTTTCTGTTTTCTTAGATTCTCGACTATCTCTTTGCACATGGACAGCTCTGTGAGAAGGGCTTCGACCCTCTTTTGGTGGAAGAGGCTCTGGAGATGCAGCAGTGTTCAGAGGAAAAGGTAGGCTCCAGGGAACCCTCTGGAAAGAAGGGACAGAGCAGTATGTCCTGGGGGCACTCCTGTTCCACACCTTCATCCCTCCCAGTGGCTGTAGGCTGAACTAGTTGGAAGCAAGAATCTCCCGTGTCCAGACAGGCATGTGGATGTTTGGCTCAGATGAAGTATCAAGTTGAAGACTGTCCAGGATCCCAGGGAAGGGATGGAAAAAAAACGACCTGGGCAAAAGCTGTACTTTCGGATGATGGGGGAGATGGCTAGTCATTTTGCCTAGGCTGGATGGGAGCGTGGATGTGGATGGGGGGACCTGCAGGAAGGGCAGTAAGCTCTGGGGCCTGGGCATCAGCCTGTCTTCCTCCACGGCCCTCCTCTGCTTGCTCGGGGACCCGAGGGGCTCCGGCAAGGATGCCCTCCCAAGCAGCCCCTTACACGTGTATTTCACCACTCGGCTGTGCTGTGTGGCCAGAACCCTTTCTTGAATCTGTATTCTCTTCTCTTTAGATGATGGAGTTTCTTCAGCTGATGAGCAAATTTAAGGAAATGGGCTTTGAACTGAAAGATATTAAGGAAGTTCTGCTATTACACAACAACGACCAGGACAATGCTCTGGAAGACCTCATGGCGCGGGCGGGAGCCAGCTGAGACGAGGCCCTGCTCGGCCCTGCCAGAGCCACCCCTGCAGGAGGCCCTGAGGAGCCCCCGTGGGGAAGGGGAAGGGGAAGGGGCGCGCTTCCGGATTTCCTTTTGGGGGTGGAAGGTCAGGTGTGGAGACTGTGCTTGCCAAGTCTCTACAAGCTTAGGTCCTGAGCTGGGGAGAGAGTGGGTAAGATTTGGGCGTGCACATGCCCCCAGAACTGTCTTGGCTCCTTCCATATTAAAAGTATTTGTATCCTGAGAAGTGTCCTTCCCGCCTTGGCCCTCCAGATTGACTTCTCTGGTCTTTTTGGGATCTGTATGGCTTCAGCCGAAACCTGGCCCAGCTGCCAAAAGGAGCTGGGGAGGAGGTGGTGGGGCCAGACTCAGTGCTGCTTCGGGGCTAGATGTTCCCTCGTCCGCAAGAGTGGGCTGACCTCTAATCCAGGTTGAGTGCAATTGAAAGGTTCTTCCAGGGTCTGTTTCCTTCCCTTTTTAACAATGTCACTGCGACACTGGTTCTGCAATGTCTCTGAGGTGCAGAGAATGCCCTTTACCCCCTGGGGCCCTGAGTTTGCCTTTTCTGCCAGGCAGTTACCACACTTCCCTGCCCCAGCCTGTTTCTTTCGGCCTGGTTTGGACTACAATCTTCTGCTACCCAGGATTTTATAGTCCCTTACTCTAGGAAGCAGTTGTCAGTTTAAGGAATCATTGGTCCCTTCCCAGCACATCAAGCGGGGAAAAAGCAGGCCATGATTTAGTCCCCCAGCACTAACTCCACCTCAGTTCTCCCTGGAGAACAGCCTCTCCCCTTCAGCCCCTGCTCTAGGACGACACGACAAATAACACCTAGTCATAGAAATCAGTCTCTTTGGTTTGTTTTGTATTATGTTGTACATCATTAAAGATCTAAATACAAAGGATATACAGTCTTGATGAATCTAAAGTAATTTGCTAACTATTTTGATTCTTCAGAGAGAACTACTAATAAAAATCTAAAAGGTATATCCTGTTGTGATGATTTCTTTATTGCCAAGGAATGTTTCACTGCAGGGTGGAGGTTAGTGAGTGGTAAGCAGATTTGCTGGGGATGGAACAGAAGCTAACCATTTTCTGTCATTTCACTGCTTTCTTCCAACTCTTAGACCTGTGGAACCCACGAGTTGGCCCTACAGTCTGCCCTGGTTTTTGGTTTGCAAAGGCAGGCCTAGACACAAAGGTCTGTTTAAGCTTGGCCTAGCTCGGTCTCTGGGTTAAGGACATAGACGTGTGCCTTCCTGCAAGACTGACTGTGGAGGTGAGACAGGCTGGGCCTTCGGGAGACACACTCAGAGGTGAGGAGTGAGCCCCTGGTCCTGTGAGCAGCATCAGGCGTGTCTGTGTTCCGCAGGTGGGACGGGGATTGACTGCTTCACTAGCTCTCAGTGGGGCTGTTGCATTCAATGGCACTAGATTTATCGCTAGCTTCTTGTCCTTAGTTGTAATACTGTCTCTCCCACAGTCCTCCTTGTGCTCTTGGCTTGGATGGGTCTAATTTTTGTAGTGATGATGTGAGGATACAGAACCTTTAGGCTGGGAGGCAGCAAGCTGGAAAAAGGCCACCCTCTGGTGGTCAGATGAGGCATGGCCATTGTCTCAGAAAGCCAGTTAGTCCCTCTTCTGGCCTTTAAAATTAAACCCTTCTTTTAAAATTTGGAGAAGTTATCCTTTAACTTCTACAAGAGAACAAAATTTCATATCAAAATGGGTGTCAGGGCCAAGGCTTTGACATGTGAATCTCAATTTGATCCAAGGTGGCCTTGGTAAGTGATGAACTACCTGGTATTTCTTAAGCTTTCTGCTAAAAAGATACACAGTGAACAACTCACATGAAAGGGTGCATGTATGTGTGTAAAACCGCTTTAGAGTCTCACTGGCCAGAGCACTTAGTGCCAAGGTACTGAACACAGGCCACTGGAAGGGAGAGCAGATGGCCAGGGAGACCCTGGATGAAGGTGAGGCTAGGAGATGGACTTGCCTGTGATACTCCAGCCATTCAACTGTTCTGTGAGGGAGTACGGTGGGTGAGGACTCACAGACAGGACTTAGGAATGTGATGCAGGCAGATGGTCTCAGCAAAAGGCAGAGACTGGAAAAGAATGCAGTGATGCGAGCGCCCTCTTCCGTCTAAATACTGTGTTGCAGGGAAGGAGGGGAACTGGAAGCATAAGTAAGACCTGTCCCACATCTGCTCCTGTTAAAGACATCCAGTTAAGGTTTATTCATTTTACATTTTCAAAAGCTAAAGCCCCAAATCAATCTCCCAAGGGCTGGTGGGGCAGATCTCACCCAGCCCCCACCCCACTAGCACCCGCGTTTTAGTTTTTGACCAAGTCCTGGAGGAAGGCACAGAATCCAGAGGATAAAACCTCTAGGCTCAGCATGTTATCTCCCCTAGCTTGTGACCTCCAACCTGTAGGTTACCGCTGACCATCCCCCCATCCTCAGATCCCCAAGTTCAGAAACATCTACAGGGTTATTAGACCCAACTGTGTTTCCACAAAGGGTCAGTAATGCAAATCCTCAGCCCCAAAGAACAGGGAGAGACCTATTAGGAGCTGTTCAGGCTCATCTGCCCTTCCTTGCAGAAGTCCCTGTGCTTGGAACTGGACAGATGCTCGGCTCAGAGAGGAGCTGGGACCCAGCCCAGGCCATGAGTGGTGAGAGACCAGCATGGCAGGACAAGACGGGTGCTGAGATCTGCAGGGGGACCTGGTGGAGGCCCCTCCAGCTCTTGAGAGCCCAGCCACCCCATACCAACTCTAAGACACCACTGTCCTCTCGGGGCCTGCAGCTGGCTTGTGGCAGGCCAGGTATAGCTGTAGCTGGCTCCTCAGACTCTGGATGCACTTGGACTTCATAACCATGATTTCATCTAGCTGGATCACAAAACCTTCAAAATCCTGAGAAAGGAAACGAAGGTCAAATGGAGCTTTTGCTGTTACTGGCCCTCTGTCATATCTGCTTTTCTAATCACTTCTCTTGCAGGAGGATTTCAGAGCCCAGGGCCCTTCCTCCAGTTGGAAAACCTGCAGGATAGTCACCATGGCATAGGGTGGGCCCACTTCTCTAGAGAGGTATTTGCAGGGCAAAAGGGTGGTTTTGTAGAAGTACCTCTGGTCTGCATAAGGCAAGTCACTGTTGCCATAACAGGGAGGGGCCTCCAACAAGCCACGAGGAAGGCAGAATGGCAAGGAGAGAGGCTGGAAACACTGGCCTGGGAATGGGGAGTGTCACGCCACCCCGACCTGTCCTTGTGCCCCTCAGGCCAGCTCAGAGGAGTGGCAAGAGAAGGCCCAAAGCCTCGACAAAGCTACAGTGTGGCAGCAGACCCTTTCTGCACACACTGCAGGAAATGGATAATTGTCAAACTAGCTGGACTTCCCTGGTGGCTCTGTGGTAAAGAACACGCCTGCCAATTCAGGAGACGTGGGTTCAATCCCTGGTCGGGACAATCCCCTGGAGAAGGACATGGCAACTCAACTCAAGTATTCTTAACTGGAGAATCCCATGGACAGAGGAGCCTGGTGGGCAACAGTCCATAGGTTGCAGAAGAGTCAGACATGACTTAGTGACTAAACAACGTCAAACTAGCTGCAGGCTAAGTCCCAACAGCCCTGGTGGGTCCAGCCAAGACCACTTACGGTAGCAGCCAGCTGGCTCATCAGGGTCTCCTCCTTGAAGCCCAGCTCAGCCATTTCATCCAGCTGTTCCCGGTGTGCTTGGATGACGACCTGCCTGGGAACCAGAGGGGGTGCTGTGAGCCTTGGGCCTCCTATCTCTCATGGGCAGCTTTCTGGAACTGAGCCTCATTTCTAGGCCAGGAGCTGCTTCTTCCCAAAGAGGTCGAGGCTTTGATGGGAACGAGCTCCCCACCATCTCCTGCCTCTCCATTGTTCCTTTCAGGGCTTGTCAGGGACTAGGGAGACACCCTGAAGTACTGGGAAGACAGTGGCTTTGGGAGCTGCCCCCAGGGCCTCCTGGGTTCACTGAGACAGGGCTGGATGCTGCTGCTCCTCCGCAGGCGCTGCTCACAGCATCCCTGCACGGAAGCTCAAGGCTGTGCCACTGCAGCCGGCATGTGGCACAGGTAGATCCTGCCACCTGGCCTGTGGGCATGTCTCCTCTCTGTGGGGAGTTCAGGGACCAGAGCAAGGGGGTCTGGGCTAGAAGCTGGAGGACCTGCCTTCTGTCAGACCCCCCTGATGGGTAGAGACCACACAACAGCATGACTGACCCCTGGCTACAGGTGAGCTCCTCCCCTGGACATCCCTGCATGCCCTTCTCTTTGCCCAAGGCCCAGGCCGAGCCCCAGTGAGCAGGCAGACAGCTGGCCCAGGGAATCGGGAGCCAGAGTGGAGGGCTGCGGCCTCAGAGAAGCATCTGTTGCCGCCTGCCCTCCTGTGCCTCTAGCCCTCGACACCCACCCCCCTTCACATCCTCCAAGGTGGTCTCATTCTGCGGCACCATCCAGCCTCCTCAGGGAAAGCACAGTCGGCAGCCCCTGCTTCCTACGTCTGCCATCCTGGAAGGTGCCTAGAGCTGTGGCTCTGGGGCCACACGGCGGCTGCTGCTGTGTCCTGGAGCAGCACTGCAGGAATACATACCCACCAGAACGAGGAGGATTCTGGTCTCACCTCGGGTCTCGGGCTTGGTCACGGGGTCAGATCCTCCCTTCTCTCCCTCACATCCAGCTCTCCCAGGCTGAGGGCCCACCCACCCTGGCAGGGCTGCTCCAATACATTTTACTCCTACTGCTCATGTCGGATGCAACTAGGCAGGCTCCCTTTAAAAGGTGGACAAACAGCCTGTCTCTGAGCCAACCATAGCTATTCCCAGAACAGACAGAACAATAAGCTGGGGTGGGAGTAGGGCTGCCAATGGGCCCAAGTCTAGGTAGGAGAGTCCAACTTACTGTGCCTGCCCCAGGACAGGCTGACGGAGTGTCCTGGTGGTCTTGGGAGAACAGCTGGCCACCAGGGGAGAGCCTGGCCTTGCTAAGGGCCTTGGGATTGGCCTATGTTTGAGCCATGCAATGCCCTCATTGTAGCAAGACAGTGTGATGGGGTCTGTGGAGAAACCCAGTTCCGGCCAACTGGGCCCTGCCAGCTGCTTTCTCTCCTGGGCCCTGGGCTGGTCAGCCACATTACTACTTCCTGCTCGGGGGGTGAGTGTAGGCCCAATGTGAGGTCCTCCAGGATGTAAGGTGAGGAAGGGCTTTCCCAGGAAACCCTGGGAGCCGTCCAGCTCTGTCTCAACATTGGCATCACAGTGCCCCCGGGAGAAGAGTGCGGTGTCTCTGCTCTGGCAGGCCTCCCCCGGGTCAGCCTCCCCGTCGGGCAGCTCGTCAGGCGGGTGCTGACGGATGGGTGATGGGGACAGAGCTGGAAGACTGCCCCCAGGCTTGTTGTCGGGGGGAGATGAGGAGAGCCACAGGTGCTCAGCTGCTGAAGACGTTGGCGGGACTGCCTCTGGATCACCCGATGACACTGTGTGGCCCACTGCTGGCCCCTCTGTGTCTGCTGCCACGAGACCACGCACAGTTCCATCCTGGGCCGGCTGCTCCCAGGAAGGAGGGCCCCCATCATCCAGGCTCTCCAGGAGGGACATGGTGAGCGGAGCCATCAGTCCGGAAGCATGCTCAGAGCTCGTGCCTAATTCACCTTTAGAGTCTTCTCCTTGGAAAGGGTTACTGTCTTTCATTGTTCTGGTCTCCAGAGTTGGGCTGTCTTCACTGACTTCTCTCAGGGGTGTGCTCACTTTGTCTCTCTGGTCTGGGGACCCAGGAACTGCGATGTGGGATAGTGAGCAAGTGAAACCATCTTCCCCCAGGGATGGCAAGCTGTCCTCGGCCTGCCCAGGAACCTCACTTCTGAAGGCTTCCTGTCTGAGGTCAAAAGCAGGGCCGCCACCTCTTCCCTGACCATATACAGAGTCTACCTGTGAGCAGTAAGGCTTCCCTGCCAGGTCTTCTCTGAGAGGAGGCCCTGAGAGGTCTGAGTCCTCCTCTCTGCTCCAGTCCAAAGGCACCTGACCTGGGCTGCAGCCGTGATCAAGTGCTATCCTTCTGTGGCCTGCGGGGTCCTGGGAGTAGACCCAGCTTCCAGTTACACCCTCCTTGTCACCATCTGGGCTGAAAAAGAGACTCTGCTGCCTCTCAGCCACCCGCTCCTCAGGACCTTGCTCCCTCTGATGAAGGAAGAACGAGCCTCCACTGTTCTCCTGACTCTTTCCCTGCTCTCTGGGCCTTTGAGAGGAGACGTGTGAAAAAGAATCTTCACTGAAGTCGCTGTCATCAGGGTCCTCCGCTTGGGGGACTTGGGCTCCATCATGACTCTCAGCACGATGAGGGTGGAAGGGAGAAGGGATGTCGTTCTGGAGCTGCCCCTCTGGGGGCTGGGACCGGCATAAAAACCTTTCCAGGGGTTGGTACTTTAACTTCTGCTGGAGGAGAGGTGGCTGCTGGAACTGCTGGTGATAAAAGCGCAAATGCTCCTCCCGCTCCTTCTGACGAGCAGGGATGTTGCTGGTCCAAGCTTCAGAGGCAGGCCGGCTAGGTGTGCCCTCCTTGCTGCCCTGACCATACTCCGCTAAGCGGTGGACGCTGCCAAAGGAGAGCTCGCCTCGTGACACAAGCTGCTTCTGCACTGGCTGCACAGTCTGCACTTTCTTGCACCGGGAGGGTGGCTGACCACGGACCAGGTCCCCTCCTGGGCCTGGCGCCCTGCTTCCCCAGCCTAGGGCGGTTTTGTTGCCAACTGGGTTTTTCTCAGAGCATAATGCAGCTGATTCTTCTGCCCTTTTTATGGCTACATGTCCAGACGGCACACATCCTTTGTTAGAGCTAGTCTGAATGACCCACTCTCGGGGAGGACTCCCTCGAGAGCCACCCTCTTTGCCAGGAACCTTAGGTACAGAAGCAAAAGGGATATTGGCTGGGTGACTAGCCAGAGGATGGGCCTTCCCTCTCGTGGAACCAGATGGCACTGTGAGCGGCTGCTGAAGCCCCAGCTTGACTTTTTTGGGAGAACATTTGTCCCCTGGCAGGGCCACAGGAGAGCTCTGAATTCGTTTTGGAGAAGAGTTAGAAGAGTTTCCAGATGTTCGATTTCGACTGTTAGCTGGAGTACAACATTTAATGCCTTTCTTTAGTTCTTTGACCCTGTAAATGACCATTTTATGTTAATGTACATTCCTGTAATTCCCTTCCTATAGCTTTCAGAGAAAACAAAAACCAAAGAAAAGTATTACAAGAACTGGGAATTATTTTTTTTATCTGGGAGAGAATAAAGAAAAGAATAAAGGGGATATTCTATTTCAACATGAAATACGTCACTTTACTTGAACAAAGATCAGTGTCTTCTCTGAGGATATTAGCATGCACCCAATATTCCATGATCAGGAGAGTGTTTGAAATACCACAGATGCATGTGAGGGACAGGCCAGAGGAGCTGGTTTCAGAACTTATGTCCACGCAGGGCCCATACCACACTTACTGAAGATCAGCCCACTCAGGAGCCATGTGTCTACTCCTCACCTACTATTCCATAATCAGAACTTTCTCTTCCTGAAAACCACCTCCTTTTAGGCTTCTTTGAGAAAATGAGTTCCCTCCAACCTGCTGGGCACTTCAAGAAGCACAAGCTCTCAGAAATAAGTCGGCTTGTGCTAATTCCATGGAGGTAGAAACAACCTGTCTGTTCCCAGGGTTTTCAACTTTAGCACCAGTGGTGTTTGGGGTCAGACAATTCTTTGTTGTGGGGAGCTTCTTTTGCCTGTGGAATGTTTAGCAACTTCCTTGGCTTCTACCCACGATCACAGCAGCCTTTGTTCTCTGTCACAACAATCAAAATTGCCTCTAGACATTGTCAAACATCCTCTGGGAGGCAAAAATCAGCCCCTAGATAGAGAAATAAGAGAACCATGCTCTATTCTACAAGGGAATTTTAGAGAACATGGAAAAATCCAGAATTAAGTCTGCTAGGATTGAGTTGCCAAGATCAGAGTCTCTCACTCTGTGATACCTAAAACAAAATAAAAGCAGTGGAAGAATTTGGATTTACAAGGAGACATCAAGTAAGATGTGACTCTCCAGTGGTATGCTTGTAGATTCTGTGTTGAAATCCCTTATGGAGGGAGTTGTACTTTTGCCGGGGAGCTCTCAGAAAATGTCTTTTCCATTGTTTTGGTTTTAATCCCCTTAGTAGTAGCCAAATGACACCCTGGTCATTTCTGAAAACCAAGATAGTAAACCTGACACTGAGACCTGACTTCCTTTTAGGTCTGAGAAGCAGGGAAGCAGGTAACATAGTAAGCAGAGAAACAAAGTCATGACTGAAGTCATGTTTCTCAGATACGCAGACGACAACCCCCTTATGGCAGAAAGTGAAGAACTAAAGAGCCTCTTGATGAAAGTGAAAGAGGAGAGTGAAAAAGTTGGCTTACAGCTCAACATTCAGAAAACTAAGATCATGGCATCCAGTCCCATCACTTCATGGCAAACAGATGGAGAAAGAGTGGAAACAGTGGCTGGCTTTATTTTTTTGGGCTCCAAAATCACTGCAGATGGTGACTGCAGCCATGAAATTAAAAGACGCTTACTCCTTGGAAGGAAAGTTATGACAAACCTAGACAGCATATTAAAAAGCAGAGACATTACTTTGCTAACAAAGGTCTGTCTAGTCAAGGCTATGGTTTTTCCAGTAGTCATGTATGGATGTGACAGTTGAACATCCAAAGAAAGCTGAGAACAGAATTGATGCTTTTGAACTGTGGTGTTGGAGAAGACTCTTGAAAGCCCCTTGGACAGCAAGGAGATCCAACCAAGTCCATCCTAAAGGAGATGAGTCCTAGGTGTTCATTGGAAGGACTGATGTTGAAGCTGAAACTCCAATACTTTGGCCACCTGATGCGAAGAACTCACTCATTTGAAAAGACCCTGATGCTGGGAAAGATTGAGGGCAGGAGGAGAAGCGGACAACAGAGGATAAAATGGTTGGATGGCATCACCGACTCCATGGACATGAGTTTGGGTAAAGTCTGGGAGTTGGTGATGGACAGGGAGGCCTGGCGTGCTGCGGTTCACGGGGTCGCAAAGAGTCGGACACGCATGAGTGACTGAACTGAACTGAAAATCAGGTTGTGTTCTTGGGCCTTTGCTGAGGTGTTGTAGCAGGACATACACACAAGGAATAAGTTGAGAGTTGCCACAGCAAGTCTACATGGTTCCAAATTACCTCCTGTTATAAAACTGAGCTCTTTTAGTTTTGTTAAAAGAGAAACACCAAAGTTTCTTCCTAGGAGTCACAGAAGTAATTCTAGAAATCTGAGGGTGTCAGAAGAAATCTTACAGGTAATTTGGTCACTGATGCGAAGTACTTCCAGTGTACTCTTTTACCAGAATCACTCTTGTTACTGAGCTCTTTTCTGATAAACCTATTAGGGGTCCAGCTAGAACTTTATTTTTGTACTATTTACCAACATTCTTTTAGTATGTGAAGAAAGAACAATTTTAAATCAGAGGAAAATTTCAAATAAGCAATAAAATCATTCTTATCTTGTGTGTGTACAGATTATTACCTACAATTAATTTAAGCACATAAAATAAATGACTTTCATACTTACTTTCAGTAATTTTTCAGACTGCTTTGAATGAAAGATTATTTCTATTATACTTTTTCTACCTTTTTTTTTTAAAGGAACTACAGCCTCATTTATTATTCGTAAATCTTGATCTAGTCTCCATTTACCATTTGATTTCTTTATACCCAAAACAGAAGTATTGCATGGACTGTTACAGGGAACTAATAGTCCCTGTTCCTCTAAATTTTCAATGATGGGTTTTAACCCTTCCTTAACCTCAGGTTTTAGTGGATACTGCTTCTTATGTGGGAATACTGTGGGTCTTTGAGCTTGACAACTACAGGAATAACATTTTGTGCTCGACCCACAGATTTTTCATCATCCCATACTCTAGGATTTATATTTTGTTCAACTAAAGGGAGAGAAAGGGAGGGCTCCGTATTCATGGAAACAGAGGCATGGACCTTGCTCAGTATATCCCTCCCCAAAAGGGGTGAGGGTGATTCTGGCACGATAAGAAACTCGTGTGAAAATAGCACAGAATCCCAGTTGCAAGATACAGAATAACTGAAATAATAACTTTTGGCTCGTCCAGACAGTCCCATTACGGAAGTGGATTGGGAAGAAAGTGGGCCAGGGGCTTCAGTAAGCACAGAGTAAGTTGCCCCAGTATCTAAAAGGAAATCGATGGATTGGCCTCCCACAGTTATCAATACCCGGGGTTCCTCAGGTGTAATTAGGACAGGAGCTTGTGTGGGGACCCCCGGGCACCTTCAGTCCTGGTTGTCTTGAGAGTCCGACCCCTGAAACCTATGCCTCTGGGGGCAGTCTCTCCTCCAGTGTGGTCCTTTGCAGACCGGACATGAAACCGGGGTGCTTAGATGCCTGAGGGCAATCTTGCTTGAGGTGCCCCTCCATTCCACAGCAATAGCAAGCCCATCCCTTTTCACCTGGGTCCCTCTGGGCATTTCTCTCAGGCTGTTTAAGAACGGTTTTCATAGCCATTGCAAAGGCTTCCGCCTGTTCCTTTGTCTTTCTCTGCCTTTCTTTCTTTTCCTCATATTCCCTTCCATAATAGACTGTCTGAGACACTTTTTCTAGTTTTTAACAAAAATTATTTTAAATAATTTCTCAACTGTACTCAATACATCCCCCTTGAGAAAGGGTTACTTTCATCTTCCTTTACTGAAGCGCTGAGAGGAATGTTTTATTCTCTGCTCCTAATGATGTTCTCAGTTCAAGCACTTTTTATGTCTGTGATGCAGGGAGGGATTTATGAAACAAGACTGACCTAGGGTTAGTAACTGTTGAAGCAGGGTAATGGACACATGGGGGGAAGGAACTTGAAGCCATACTGGTTTGGGGGAAACAATTTTGGATCATCCCATGTCTTCTAGCTGATCTCAGTCTTCACTTATCTTCTAGCAGGGCTAGGACGCTGGCATTAAGGAAGCCATGCAATTAGGAATCCTCCTTCAGGAAACTTATTTAGGAAACCTATTATAGGTGTACTTCATTTTATTGCATTTTGCTTTGTGGAGGGGGCTTTTTTTTTTTTTAAACAAACTGAAGGTTCATAGCAACTCTGCATAGAGCAAGTCTATCAGTGCCATTTTTCCAACAAGGTTATTTTTAAATTAAGGTACGTACCTTGTTTTTTAAAAACATAATGCTACTGCACATGTGATAAAGTACACAGTACAGTGTAAATATAATTTTTACATGCACTGGGAAACCAATCTGGGACTTCAGTGTGATTTATCACAGCGGTCTGAACCAAAGTTGCAGTATTTCCACAGTGTACCTGTATTCTTGTCTGGAAAATTCCATGGACAGGAACTTGGTGGGCTATAGTCCAGGGACCACAAAGAATCAGACATGACTGAGCATATGCCTATAATATTACTATTGTTGAAGTTAATATATAATGAGCGTTCACTCTGTGCCAGGTGTGGCCCTAAGCCCTTCATACATGTCATCTCATTGAATCCAAGTAACTGTTACATGAGGTAGGTGCTATCATTATCCGTGTTCACATTAAGGGAACTGGTGCTCAGAGAAGTTGAAAACTAGCCCAGGATCACTCAGTTAGCTAGTGGCAGAGGCAGGGTTCTGGCCCAGATAGTTTCACTCTAGAGTCCATTCTAGTAGCCACTTTGTAAATGGTCTCTCCTATTGAAATGAGATGAGATAAAATACACAGAGAACATCACTGAGGCCCTGACGCCCAGGGCGAGCTCCTCCTTTCATTCACAAATATTAATAACACACCTACTAGGTATCAAGTACTGTCTGGGCAGGATAGAGACAGTGGAGAAAAAGATAAGGTTCCTGTTCTCATGGAACTTAAGTGATAGCTTATCTTTCCTTCCCAGTGAGTTTCATAAAATGCCATGTATACGAAAGATTCTTCAACAGTAATTTTAAGAACACCAGGTTCCCCTCAAATAGTCTGTTAACTTTGGAGACAGCTTCTGAGAGACCATGAGGAGGTGTTGTACGGTAGGACCAGGTAGCAAAGCAGCCGGAGGAATGGATGGTAATGAGAAGGAGACACATGACCCCAGGGTAAGAGATGGGAGGGGCCCTGGCAGATACCAAAGTCACTAGAGCCCTGACCTGGCAGTCAGAGGTACTAGTTCTGCCACCAACTCCCAATGAGCCCTTTTAAGGTCCCTGCTCGTTTCTGGGCCTGTTTCTCCTTCCATAAAACAAGGTTGATCTCTTCTGAACCTACATAGCTCTGAGGACTTCTGCCTTAACAAATAATAGGTACTCTATCCCTAACAATTAGGGCTGAGGCTGGCAGGAAGAAAACCTCACGAAGCCTTCCACTCTGGAAAAATATTTCATCTCCGGCTAGCTATTTAAGATTCACTGATGGAGTTGTCTCCTGAACAAGGGAACATGTCATATTCCTCATCACGTTCACACTTGTAAAATGACAGGGCCTACCAAGACACATTCTTTACATGACCAGTTGCACATTCCCCTGGCAGCAGAATTATTATCCCAAGAACAGGTTTGGGGAGCTCAAGGTCAGATCCTTGTGTTTGCATCTCTCACAAACATACACACACACACACCACCCCCACTCTGACACCTGAGGGGGACTCACCGGTCAGCATAGCGCAAAGTATTCAGAGTGTGTTCAGTGGCCACATGGCTTGGTGAGATGTTGGCGATCATGCAGGTTTTGGCATTGCCAATGAAAGAGTCCTTCAGCACCTGTTCAAAACAGAAGGCGGGTCAGTGAAATCAACCAACAAAGGGCATGCTGACCACATACTGTGTTCAGGACCTGGGCCATACTCATACCTACCACCTTCTACAGAAAGGCAGTTCACAAAAGAAGAAACACAAATGATCACTAAACAAACAAAACAGGTACTCACTGCACCACTAATCAAAGAAATGCAGACAAAGCATTTTACAAAATTACAATTTGTGGGGACTTCCCTGGTGGGGGGGTCCACTGGATCCCACATGCTGCAACTCAAGAGTTCATTACCTCAACTAAGATCCAGTGCAGTCAAGTAATAAATAAATTAAAAAATTAAAATTTGGGGGCCTGTAAGATTAAGAAAGACTCACACGAACCTGCTCTGGTGAGGGTCTCGGGAAAGGGTGCTCCTGCACACTGCTATGCTGCCCACGTACTATGCAGTGTGAACTGGTACATGCTTTTGGGAGGGCAGTTTGGTAATATGGTAAAAACCTGGTAAAAAAATGTTCCTACTTTTGGTTTGGCAATCACACGTTAAAGACTTTATCCTAAAGAGACAATTGCTCAACTGATTTTAAAAAAAAGTATACACAGGATATTGATTACAATATTATAATAGTAAAATTTGGAAAATCTCTAAGTCTATAAACAAGTAACATTAAAAAATTATAAACTGCATACAACCATAAAAACTAATTATGGATATATGTACTTAGGCACCTGGAAAGATCTAAAACTTATGTTTGTGTGAAAAAGGTGTATGATTCTGTAAGTGGATTTATGTGTGAAATTACTGATTTAATTAAACAGGAACACAATTTCTGGGGGTGGAGGACAAGTTCTGAAAAATAACAAAGCCGATGTAAGAATCAGGACTAACCACCCAAAAGAAGGGTTTCCTGAGTCCCCAGCTATAGTCATGTTTGAGAAGAAACCATCTAACCCATAGATGACTGATCCTAACAAATTAGGAGCTATGTTATCATAGGTTCTGCCCCAGCTCCCATGAAGCTGTTGGTCTAGCTGCACAGAGTGAAAACTCCTCCCAGAACACAGAGCGCCTCACCGAGACCGCCTCCTGCCTCGTCTGTCCCCTACTGTGCCCAGCCTTGGTGCAGAAGGGAACCAGGGGTCCCTGTAACTGTCTTCACAGCTGTTTGTACCTAGGCTGAGCCCTCCATGAGCCACTCTTCTTGGTGCTTCCTAACAATAAAGCACATTTTCATGACAGAAAAATGGAAGAAAAAAAATAAGCTATGGTCCTATTACTCAAAATAATCAGCTAACAGAGATGCATAATTTTTATGTGTAGTTTTTTTTTTCTTATTTCATATATTTAAACTATAGATCTTGGTCATCTTTCCCGGAAGGACATGTCAAAAATCCATCTCATTCTTTTTAAATGCTGCCATTATTTTTTGTCTTGAAACATTGGTCTATCTAAGTCTACAACTAAAAGAGAACCAAGACAGCTACACTACCATCCCCTTCAAAGGCTCAGAGACGCCACTAAATCAACAAGGTTTCTTTTTGTTAGAAATAAATGGAAAGCTGTTGGACGGTGACCACCGCTGCCTGGCTGCTGTGTACTGTAGGGATCCCTGCCTGAGGATGCCCTTTCTTCTTCAAGACTGAGAGCTCCTAGAAGGAAGGTGACTCCTCCCCTCCTCCCCCTCCCTCCCCGCCTGCCCTCCACCACATCATGCCTTGCTGGCAATGGATGCTCTCCTGAATGATTAAATGAATGGAAGAAGGAACACACGAGTGAACCAGAACTCAAAGCTCATATTTAACTTTACCTGAGTTAATTTGCTTTGCCTGAAAGGAGTGTGGGTGTGTTCCTGATCCAATGCACGGATACATTCCTTCAGCTGCAAAGTGGTAGAATAACAAGCACATCAAATATCACATGCAATGTGAGACTAACAGATCAGATTTTTAAAAAAATAAACCACACTCATGCAACCCTCCTCCAAAGGAAGTCAAAATGCCCTGGTAGTTTCTTGCTCAACAAGAACAATCAAGGTAGACTGGAAAACATCATCCTATGCTAGCTTTGCCTACCCTGCCCCTGGCCCCCTCTCAACTTAAAGGCTGTGAACCTAGGATTAGAGCTGATAGCGCAGAACTGACAAACCCAGGGACCCTCCCATCGGTCCCAGAGTCCAACTGATGTGGTGGCAGTTCTGGCTTGCCGCTCCCTTTCTCTCCTCACACTCTGCCCAACTACAAGATGCGCTTAAACAGAGAAAATACCCCTGCCGCTCCCCCGCCTCCCTGCTCACACATGCACACCTGTAGGTACAGCTTCAAGTGCAGATTCAGATACAAGTTGTCTGAATGGAACAGGAGAAATCCTAGAGGCAGAGCTGGGAAGGAACTGAGAAACGACCTAGGTCTACACCCTCATTAAAAAAAGTAGGGATGGTGGCCCAAAGGCAAAGAAGGGCATGTCACTTGCTCCTGGGCAGAGCCTCTTAAAGAAGTGCTCACTGGACATCACTAGTGCCAGCAGAAATCTGGATATGTACATCTCCAAGGGCAACATGGCCATCAGAAAGAGCAGGGGTTGAGGGGACAAGACCAGGGAGGACAGACCTTCTATTTCTGAGTCACGCATCTAGGGTAAGCGACAGTAAATGAGAAAAAAGGGAGGGAAGAGAATGGAAGGGATCCCTTGGAACTGCCAGTGCTGGGAGTTCACCAAGAAAAGGTAATTAGCCTTGACAGTCTCCCGTGACTGTTCTTGGCAGCAGCCATAGATGTCCACAGCTAACCCTTCTCTATCCAAGAAGCTGCAAGGTTATAAGATGGTATAAAGGAATTTCCTCTCTTATTACAAGTCAGTCCAATATCCCCAAACTTTAGTACTGGGAAGATTCTCTAGAAGGGATAACAGGTAACCAAACCTGGCCCACACCTGCCCCTTACATACTCAAATCCAAGTGTGGCCATCAATTTCTATGAGCCCCTGGGTCCCTTTAGCCTTGCTGAATCAGAATGGAAAGTAGACTTTACTAAGCTCTAAGGGAAAAGCAAGGGAAATACCCAGGAAAGAAAAAAGGGGCATCTTTGTACGCCTCACAAAGCACAAGATTTTGATCCTATTCTTTAAGGCTTGTTTCCAGGCTCCTTTACATGCTGTCTCCCATGTGAGAAAGACAGCCAAGCCCCAAGGATACTCCACAGGTGCCATGCCATGCTAAGCTGCTTCAGTCGTGTCCGACTCTTTGCGACCTTATGGACTACAGCCCTCCGGGCTCCTCTGTCCATGGGATTCTCCAGGCAAGAATACTGGGGTGGGTTGCCATGCCCTCCTCCAGGGGATCTTCCCGATCCAGGGGTCCAACCTGTAACTCCTGCATCGGCAGGTGGATTCTAGCACCACCTGGGAAGCCCTCTCCACAGGTACCTCATAGGTTTCCTAGTTAATTCCTACACCATAAATTTAAACATGAGAATCAAAGATTTCTAGCTAGAGGCTGTAGACCCTTGGCAAATTCACTTAACTTGAGCTTTAGAATCCTGATCTATAAAGAGGGAATAAGAGAATCTGTTGTGAAGATTAAACTCACTAGTATATAGTATGTACTCAAAAGTGTATTAGCTCCTTGGAGAAATGACTGATTTCAGGGCAAGGGCAAGGAAGAGCGTGTGACACCTTGTAGCGCCAAAAGGCAAGAAGATGCTAAAAAAATGATGAGCATGTCAAAAGGATACAAAACCAACCTGAAAGAACTTATGGACAGAACCCCAGAAAGAACTCCCAACAGCCATTTGGGAAAATGTGAGCAAGAAAATAAGAAATGATAGAAATGGATTCTAATTTAGCAAATGAAAGAAATACCCATTTACTGTTATAAGTAAGTAAATAAATAGAGAAAAAAACAGCTCTTTCTTGCAGTAGAATTCCAACTAATTAATGTAGACTGTGTGCTCAGTCACTAAGTCGTGTCTGACTCTTTTGCAACCCCATGGACTGTAGCCTGCCAGGCTCATCTGTCCATGGGATTCTCCAGGTAAGAACACTGGAGTGGGTAGCCAGTTCCTTTTCCAAGGGCTCTTCCCAACCCAGGGATCGAACCTGCACCTCCTGCTATTGGCATGCGGATCCTTACCACTAAGCCACAAGGGGATCCTCTAATATAGAATGATGGACACAGAAAAACCTCATCATGTAAACCCCACAGTAATAACTGTTACAGGTAAGAGTCATCAATGGACATTATAGGTACTGCATAGTTTTAAAGTATCTGTCCATGAGATACTTGTTACAAAGGGAATAATCATAACTTCACAATGGGGAAACCTAGCACAAACCACCTGACCTCAGTGATCAAGTTTAACATTACCAGTAATGACATATTGACGGCTACAGTACACTGAGAAGGGTACAACTTCTGTGCTACTCTTGCTAAAAATTCATTATCTCAACCTAATAATGAGAAAACATTACACAAACCCAAATTCAGACACAGTCTGCAAAATAATTGGCCAGCATTTTTCAAAGGGGTTAAGGTCAAGATTGACAAAAACTAAGGAGACTACAGAGCCATGACAACTATAGGTAACTAGACCCAAAAAAGGACATGAGTGGGACTACTGATGAAATTCAAACAAGGTCTGTAGACAGTTAATAGAACTATTTTAATGTTCATTTCCTGGTTTAAATTGCTATCATTATATAAAATGTTAACACTGGGAAGGCTAGGTGAAGGAATGCTATATGTTTATTTCTGAAGCTTTTTTAAAATCTAAAATTATTCAAAAATTTTAAATAATAATAAAAAGATGCTGACTCTCTCGCCTCTCTCAGCCTCTCAATTTACCCCTCATGAGACCTGAGAGTAATGTGTCTAGTAGGAGATTTCAGTTCTAATCAAAAAGACTTAATGTGGATGGAAACACGGCAGTACTAAAAAGGAATGGGGGTCTCTATACACAGTTGTGAATGAGCTCCAGGATACTGTTAAGTGAAAAAAGCAAACTGCAGAACAGTGTTAACAGTATGCTAGCCTTTTCTTTTTTCTCCTGAGAACAGGGTGAGCACAAACAAACATGTTGGTAGAAAATGGTTACCTAAAGGGAGGGGGATGACAGGATTGAGAGGACCGAGATGAACACTAGCCTTCTCTGAATGTGGCTTACTTTATAATTTTTCTTTAACTGAATACAAAATTGGTGAGCTTAAACACACAGAATTATTTCAAGAGACTTTGCAATATAATATTATGACTGTACATCCCAAGAGGGATACAACATAAGGGTAAAAAGGACAACTGCAAAGAAATCTTAATCTGAATTCAGTAATCATATTAAAAGTAATATACCATTATTTTGGTATACATACATATGGAGGTAGAGCAAATAAATTACATTAATGTTGTTAGGAACTAAGAATTTTAGCATAAGAGAAAAGGGAGAGAAATATAAATTCAAAAAAGCTAAGCAAAAACCCTGTAGTCTAAATTTTTAATTAATTTATTAGTATGAATCCATGATACACTTTCCCCTTCTCTGTCCATCAAAATGACCTAGAAGTAAGAACTCACCCAGTGGTGATAATCACCACTAGCACTCCTAAATGCTCCCTAAATACCATTTCCCTCTAAAACCAAGGCTTGTTGAAGAAATGGCTGATTTAAGTTCTGGGGAAAAAATGTACAAGATAAGCCTACAACATTTTGTCATACTAGAAAGCCAAGGACTAGTAGGGTTGTGACAAAAAGACACAGGAACACAAGGGCCAAAAATGTATAAATTTTAAAAAAAAGAGAGAGAGGACAGTGAGTTTATAATAATACAAAAACAAACAAAAAAAGTAAAGAACAACAAACTCATGGTCACGTTCAGGTTACCAGGACATCAACTCATTCTGAAAACTGGTGAGTGAAGGCAAAGAACCAAGCATTTATCTTGCCTCCATTGTATGAGTTACACTTCAGGATAATCAGATAGTTGGGGGAAAGTTCTTTCCAGCTAATAAATACAGAGGAATATTAGGATTAGAATATTACCATTTTGGAATTCCTAATAAAGCAATGGGATAAAAGTAATGCTCACTGAAGCCTGCTAAAACCACAAGGCATAAAGGTTGATAGGAAACATAATAATGGAGGGATTAGATTGATAACACTTGACTCTTTCTTAATTCTCAAAATCACAAAAAGAGATAATCAGACATTCTGTACCTCCTGATGGTAATTTTAAAACCTGACGAGAACAGAAAATGTACTTAAGTGAACCATTCACGCAACTGCAGAAATACTTCTGTTTCTAATTGGCAGGACTGACCAGAGGAAAAGAAGGCAGGGAGAGAGGAAGAGCTGTCTAGAACTGTGGAGAATCTCACCGGGCAGCCTCCATCTCCAACCCTGGAATTCCACTGCCTCATTCCAACCCACCCTCACCCACTTTGGTTGCATGTAAAGATGGGAAAAATCTCTCAAGAAAGACTTTTAGATGAAAGGTTTTGAACAACTTACAGCCAGAAGACTCTGGTTTATTTCCGCGCCTTCCATCTTTGTCTGTCTATCTGAGTCTCTGGCATCCGCTGCTCTTTCACTGCCAGCCAAGTCAATGAAAGAGATCCTAGAGAACAGACACAGCAGGCAAGACTTCTTTGGGGCTTTGGTTTCTTTTTATATCAGCCAACATTTTGGGATGGCAGGAAGAAATCAACACAAGCCCATCCTCAGGAAAGTTCAAGATATTACTATCAGTTTTCCAAAACTTTCCAAACAAGATTTTAATCCACTTACACCCTTCTGTTGGCTTTAACCATTTGTGAGAAAGTATGATTGAAATTAATTAAACATTCTTCCCATAAGGCTAAATGACTACAATGCAAATCACTTAGGTGACCACTTAGATAATTAAATAGAGACTTTTGTGGGCTGCTTTCCAGCCCCCCACCCCCTGAAAGACTCATTACTCAGACATGAGATAGGCCCATCCATCACTGTGGCAGAGTGATGCTAAGATAGCACCAGAGAGGCGATGAATGTACCCAACTGTCGTATGGCTTCTTTCAAGAAGGATGGATTAATTTTCCTTTTTTTTGGCCTGTAAGCTCTCTGAGATGCATTTCTTACTATTCCTCTGCTGATACTGTGTTTCACACTAGAAGCAATCAATGTTCCTTTTAATAACTTAGAGTTGACCAACAATAGGTCATTACTTCATGGTTAATCAACTGGTGGCACTTTGGTACAATGATTTATTTCAGAGTTAATAACTCTATGGTGTATCCCTGAAATAAAGAACTCTATGGGGCAGGATGTCCTGTTGTTGACAACACATATTTCAAAGTCACATTAAGGAAAGGCAGACAATGCAGTTCCCTGCATATTTCTAGCTCACCTGCCAAATGTCCTCTTGGCTGAATCTTTGATCTGAATTTGGATGATAGCGTGAGAGCGGGAGGAGTCTGCATTAACTCCAGTGGCCCTGGTGCTGCGCTCCTTGCTGCCCTTGAGGATCACCTGAAAATAAAATCCATAGGGTGACTTCTGCAAGGAATAAACAAAGCCCTCTGGCTCCTAAGAGTTGGCTGAGAGCAGCACAGACCAGACAGAGATTTGTCAGTATACTGCAGTCTTTTCCCTCTATGTGGAAAACTGCCTAAACACTAAATCATAAACAGTAAGTACCCAAGAGCAATGACAACAATGTGGAAAACTAATCTTGCGGGAGAACATTCAACAGCTCAAGAGCTAATTTACTTCTTGATCTCATACACTGTTTTTAATATCTTTGATGGATTTATCCTGACTCAACTCCGCAGGGCATAACTTGGCTCCAGAGTAAGGTCCCATAATACCCATCTGTCGTAGTAACTGAAGCAAAGGACAGAAATGTGCATCCCAGAATGAATAATCACATCCACCTGTTACACCACAATGCAATCACGAAAGAGACCAGGCCTGACATGCGGAAACATGGAAGTGATGAGTTATCGCAATTGCTATGAGCCCATGATTACCCTGGAGACCACTGCCCATTCAAATGGGAGTAAAGACTAATGTGGATCCCTCTGGCCACAAAGGAATGGGGGAGAAGAGGTGAAGCCTCAGGAATGGCCTCAAGCCACTGAAAACACAGCCATATATGAATATGCTGCCCTGATTTTGGGAAGTGTTAATTACTGAGAATCAAATATGGTGATGAATCCTCCCAGTAGCCTAAGATGAGGTGAGTATGATTATTATGCTCAGTTTATAACTGAGGAATAATTCAAAGGTTGACTTGCTCACAAATAGTTGTTTTGTGGCAGAACCAAATTCTACATCTAGCATCTAGTGTGGCTGATTCCAAAGCCCATGTGGTTTCCACTACATTGTGGGGGCACTTATGAAAAATTAATTTATTTGCAGTGTGAATTAGACTAAAGGAAGTCCTATCTCAATCTCTCAGAATTTTAATTTTTATCATATTGAACATGGCTACCATTTTCAAATTAAGAGTTCAAAAGTTGACAGAGTCAAACTTCAACAACAGTTTATAAAATACCTTAACTAGCAGGGGTAGGTACTTTTAAAAAAATTAACTACTATTAAGTTTCTTCATGGCCTAAGTGATAGTTATGTCTCTAAAGATTACCTGTGAGATTTAGAATTGTATCTTAGAACCAGATTTTAAATGCACTCATTTTGTAAATAGCTTGCTAAAAGTTTAAAGGGACTACCTGATAAATCCTTTTGTAAAGAGCAGAACTTGTTAATTTACAAAACTGGATTATCAACTGCATGGACAGCTTGTTGCTGCTAATCAGAAATCAGAAGAGTTGGAGCAGTATCCCTTATACTGGTTGTGGTTAAGTGCCAAAGAACAAAAACAAAAAATCATCCCCCAAAATACTGATAAATAAGGCTGGATGCTGGCTAGGTCACTTAAGACCAGATCTACGACTGATCCATCTAGTTTACTTACCTATCTATGCCATGAAGCTTGCAGAATCTTTGTTCCCTGACCAGGGATTGAACTTGGAGTCACAGCAGTGAAAAGTGTCAAGTTCTCACCACTGGACTGCCAGGGAATTCCCGTGAACCATCTAGTTTAAATGTACTTCCTTATCCTGGCCTTTCCTATCATTCTGATTTCACACTTTCAAATATCATAATGCAAAGATGATGGATTACTTAAAATCTGTATTATTTTTATTAAACTTCTCTTTATATACTTTCCATAACTTCAGAGTTAAAAAGATTCTGGTGCATTTCCTCCTCCTCCCAGAGTTTCAGGGTTCTTACAGCTCTTTTGATAAACACACACACACAGAGCCTTTTACAAACTTCATGAAGAAACAGAGATCTTTTAAATGTTTACATTTGTGATTTGTGTAAGTGATATGCTTGATAAAGGAGAAGTTAAGTGAATTATCCAAGGTCATACAGGCAGCATATGGTCAGGCTAGGGATAGAAGCCAGGTACCCTCTGCCACATGATGGCAGCAATGATGCTACTTCTGCTGGAATCTAATGAGAGCTCAGAGAGGCCTCAAGGTCATACCTAGTCAGGAACTGTGTATACTGACAGGAAGCCGAAGGGGTGGCCTTGTGGTTCATCCCCACAAGGGGAGTTAAGAAAGACTGTCTTCCGAGGTTCTGTTACAGAGTTTTATGTTTGACTTTTCAGTATACCTTATTCAAAATGATGTACTAGGTACCTGTGAGTGCATCTCAGAAAATCTAACATGTTGGCACGACCTTTCCTGACTAAATGCCTTTTAGGGAAGACATGAGGGAATTTCTGGTGTATGGTCATTTCCTCAGCCTCAGTAGCAGTCTGCAATCACCATGTTTTTCAGAAACTGTGGAATAAAGCAGCTGAGATCTGAGGAGTAAAAATGAGGCAGCCTGCAAAGATCATCAGACAAACTTTTTTAAGTGACATACAACTCAAGTATAGCAGTTAAAAACAAAATATGAAGTTAAACTGTCTGGGTTCACATGCCAGTTCTGACAATATGGTTGTCTCAACTCTTGAAAATCTACTTAACTTTTCAGGGCCTCATTTTCTTACCTATAAAATGGTAATTTCATAAGTTATTTCTGAGATCAAAAAGATAATACATAGTATGTAAAGCAGTTAGTACTACAATTACCACATATAAGTTCTCAATAAATACTAATTAAAAATATATACTAAAGAACTAACATATTTGTGTAAACTTCCAAAACATAAACTATTTCTTTAAAAAAATGTAAAATAATCAGAGATCCATGGAGAAATAGAGCTTTATGGATCAATATGAGATTCCATGGCTCCCAAGTACAATTAAAAATTTTAAAAAAGAAGGAAGGAAGGAAAAGGAAAGGAAGAGGATAAAGAACAAAAAGAGACAATCTATTTGAGAGAAATGCAAGTCAAGAAACAGAATAAAATTAATGCATCACCTTAAAAATCACAGGCCTCCCGTTTCTCTCACTACCTCTTTCTTTTCAAAGTCTTCCTTCCATAATAAATTCTACTGGGCAAGTTTCTTGATCTAGACCCTTTAGACAAACATGTTATATGAGTAGTAAAATGGGGACCTGCTACAATAGAAAGGAGAGACAACTGTTGAATTCTATGGCACTGGAAATATTTGGGGACTTATTAATAAGATTAATAGATGTGGGGACTTCCCTGCTGGTCCAGTGGCTAAGACTTAACGCTCCCAATTCAACGGGCCTGGGTTTGATTCCTGTTGAGGGAACTAGATCCCACATGCCGCAACTAAGAGGTCACGTGCTATAACTAAAGATCCTCATGCCACAACTAAGACCCGATACAGCCAAATAAATAAATATATTAAAAAAAAAATAACAGACATGACAAATTCAACTAGCATCACAGTAAGCATTATATGTACATTATCTCATTTCCTTCTCTATCACCCAACCCAATCATATAACATCTACATGTTTCAAGCTCAGAAAGGAAAAAGATGTGTTCAAGGACACATGGTGCCAGGACCCAGCTCCATCCAGGCTTTAATCACCAAGCTTCCAGCACAAATACCAAAGATGGGCTATGAGCACTTGAGCAGGAGAGGCACTGTGTATAGATTAAGTCTCTATCACCAGCATATGACTGAGACTTATCTTAGGGAAGCTCCTGCTCTGTGGGCCTCGGCTTCCAATGACAGCCAAGGCAGCATTAAAACATGAAGCAGATTTATTAGAAGTTTGGGAATGGATACCTATAGGTACATGTAATGTCTGTAAGAAAGACTTGAAAACCTGAAAACCTATACAACTGAAAAAATGCCCATCATTTGCCTGACAAAATCTTGATTCCAAATCTGGATGAATCAGCGAGTCCTCTATAAAGGCAGGGAAACCCTGGTGCCTGGATTGTTAAGACCAGGTAATAAAATATACCTGGAAGGAGAAACCTCTTGGAGGAAGGACAATCCTGTGTGAAAAATGAAGCTGCTAGTTGTGCAGGCAGGCAACAAGTGGCCATGCCTGTGTGAGCCTGTGGGTGATATGCGATGGTGACATCCATGAAGATGACGCCCGAGGGTGACAGTTGAGCAAACACAAGAGGTGACACCTGAGCGAGGGGGATGGTGACACCCGAGAGAAAGGGTGACACCTGAGTTAGCAAGTGCTGCTGCTCCAAGTCAATAAATGTTTGCGAGGGTAGCCACGTCAGATATCCATAATTTATGTTAACTTTCCACCTTGATCGCATCTGGCTTCCTTCTTGTACCACCTCATAAGTATTACAGACTGAGGGTATATGGCAACAATGGCAATATGTTCACTAACAAGAAACCTCTCTCTGCTGGTCTTAGAAAATACACCTTAGGACAGAACAGTGCCATAAACTCTTCCAGGATGAGAGAGATTTGACACTGGACTGCCCACTAACACAGTTCTGACCCATAGCCAAGGAAAAGGGACTTCTTTTTAGTGTTTGATCCTTTCTCATTCAATTGGTCTAATTTCCAGAACAACAGCATCGTGAGGACCAACTCTCCTGAGACTCCCAGCCAAATAAAGGAATGACCAGGTGGGGGCATGAAGACCACAGGCAACAGGCGTATGAGAAACACTCTCCTGAGGACTCTGCCGTGGAGGGAGCTCTGGACAGGTCAAGAATAGTCAGCAGTCTCAAGGGAGCCCTTCAACAAGTCCCACCCTCTTTTGTTCTGCATCTGCCTCTGCGATCACTGGAAAGAGGGTCTCGGCTCTCAGGTGACTGTTAAAAACAGCCACAAAAGGAGTCATTCTTGGATTTTGGATACCAGGACTCAGGAGTCTGATAATCACAGAAATACAAGGTCCCAGCCTTTAAATAAAATTTACCTATTTGTCCCAAGAAAAAGAAACTGTAGAAAAAGACTCGTGTCAATGGTGGGCCACCCTGCCATTTCACACACCCAAGCCCCTGGAGGGATGTACTGTGAAGCTGTTCTAAAGGTGGTTATTGTCAAGTACCCAACTTGTCCTTCCAGTCTCCTTCCTTTGACTCTAGCCAGGCTTGTTGGATATATTAGAATGACTATGATAGCTGCATGTTAGAATCACTGTGGGAGCTTCTAAAACAATACCCACCCCCCTCCCCCTTTCTACACTCCTGGTAGGAATATAAAGCGGTGCAGCCACTTTGGAAAACAGTTTGTCAGTTCCTCAAAAAGTATGACTCAACAGTTCCACTCTTACACATATACTCAAAAAAACTGAAAACATATGTCCACACAAAACCTGTACATGAATGATCGTAGCTCCATTACTCACAATAACCAAAAGGTTGAAACTACATGCCCATCAACTAATAGATGAATGAAATATGGTATATCCATACAATAGAATATTATTTAGCCATAAAAAGGAATGAAGCACATTTATCAGTACTTCATTCAACAACATAGATGAACCTTGAAAACATTACACTAAGTGAAAAAAGCCAGAGAAAGCTTACATATTGTGTGATTACATTTATATGATATGGCCAGAAAAGGTAAACTCATACAGGTAGAAATTAATGGTTTTCAGGTACCAGGTGCAGGGGAAATAGAGTAACTGCTAATGGTACAGGATTTCATTTTGGTGTGATGAAAATGTTCTGGAATTAGATAGTGGTGACAACTGCACAACTTTTTGAAAATACTAAAAAAAATCACTAGGTTGGGTATTTTAAAAGCATGAACATGAAAAAGCAGATTTTAAAATACTTTTGGACAGATACACACACACACACACACACACAAATAAATTAGTTGCCTCAAGAAAAGGCAATGAAAGGAACATTTTCACTGTAACTTTTTGAGTCCATGTGAAGGTATTATCCGTTAAAATTTTTATTTAAAATATGAATATCTCTCTCTCTAGCAGCCTTTACCAGAGCCCATTACCATAGAAAAGCACATTAGCAGCCTTTGAAACTGGCCCCAAAGTATCCTCTCCTGCATTAGGCTTTCCCAAATGCCTTACTTCCCACTATCAAGGCACTGAGACCTTGTACAGAAAGGAGCCATCCTCTCAGAAGAGGATTTGTATTTTAGAAATGTGAAATGACGTGTTTGTCATTGCCCTTTGCCTAAGTGAAGTGAAACTCACTCAGTTGTGTCCAACTCTTTTGAGCCCCATGGACTATACAATCCATGGAATTCTCCAGGCCAGAATACTGGAGTGGGTAGCCTTTCCCTTCTCCAGGGGATCTTCCCGACCCAGGAATCAAACCCAGGTCTCCCACATTGCAGGCGGATTCTTTACCAGCTGAACCACAAGGGAAGCCCAAGAACACTGAAGTGGGTAGCCTATTCCTTCTCCAGCGGATCTTCCTGACCCAGGAATCAACCTGGAGTCTCCTGCATGGCAGGCAGATTCTTTACCAACTGAGCTATGAGGGAAGTCTGCCCTTTGCCTAAATCCGAGTCCATTATACTTGTGAGATAGCAAAATGATGTCTTTCCTTGTACTTGGGCTGCTACAGTGGGGCAGTAAAGGAGGAAGATTACCTCTAAGAGGAGCTCCACGCTATCCACCTGAAGCTCTCGCAGTCCCACTATTTGTACTACATGCTTGCTATCTTCTCTGGCGAAGAGCCTGCAGACACAAGAACATGGTTGGTTTGGCAGAGCTCTAGTAACAGGCTCCTCGTAACCCATTCCACCACTCCCCCATCATGTAGCAGTTTTGCTATTGAGTGGGATTGATATGCCTTCTCCCTACCCAACCCCACACCTCCTGACTCCAATGCTAGGCTTCAGGGGTGGTCTTTGATGGCTGTACATAAATAAATCAACAATTTTGGCTACAAGGAACAGAATGAGTGGTTAACCCAGATCCAATCAGTGGATTCCTGGATACAGTGACTGACTCAGGAGTTGATACAGGATCTCTGCTAATCCAATCAAAATAAAGTTCTAGTCTCTGATTGTTAGGTACTCCTTTTTCCCTCTAGAAGTGAAAAGCATGTGGCCTTGGGAGCAGTGGTAGCCATTTTGCATTCACAAAAAAGACCGTTTTGGAATGAAACTAATACCATGGGAGGTAGAACAGAAATGCAAATAAACTGAGTCTTTATAACATCTCTGAACCTCTAGAGTCAAAAGACCCTAAGGCTTCTCTAGGCTTTCTAGTCAATGACTTCCCTAAATGCTTAAGCCAGTAACAGTAGGGTTTTATTTTACTACTTGCAACATAAGGAGTCCTGATATATTTTTGAAGGAAGCAAGGAAGAGTTGGTACTGCAATGAAAGCCTCCGGCCTGAGCGTAGTTTAATGAATGGTTACATCTACCACCATCAAACCAGATCTGCCAAGGGGCAGGTATTGAATCTATCAAAGACACTAAGATTATTTTCTCCCTCAGCAAGATAGTGCTTTTGAACCGTGGTGTTGGAGAAGACTCTTGAGAGTCCCTTGGACTGCAAGGAGATCCAACCAGTCCATCCTAAAGGAGATAAGTCCTGGGTGTTCATTGGAAGGACTGATGCTGAAGCTGAAACTCCAATACTTTGGCCACCTCATGCGAAGAGTTGACTCACTGGAAGAGACCCTGATGCTGGGAGGGATTGGGGGCAGGAGGAGAAGGGGACGACAGAAGATGAGATGGATGGATGGCATCACCGACTTGATGGACATGAGTCTGAGTAAACTCCGGGAGTTGGTGATGGACAGGGAGGCCTGGCGTGCTGTGATTCATGGGGTCGCAAAGTGAGACACGACTGAGCGACTGAACTGAACTGAAGACAGTGATTAAAATGAATACTGGAATTTCACTTCATAGCCAAACAAAAAGATTTTCTCAAAAAATGTTTTTCTCTGTCTATCCCTCACCCCAAGTTTCCAAATTTTTACAGAAGGATAGGGAAACAGCCTCATCAATGCTCATGACCTCTCAGAAGACAAATTTATTGGAACAGTTGGGCTTTGGGAATAAAAGAAGAATCAAGTTTTCAGCACCCTCACATCACTCCTGAATATATTTCCCAGACCCTATTCCCTGAGCTCACCCCGGAAAGTTCCTAATGAATAGCCTAAAGTGTACTGCTGTATTTTCAAATCATATAAGCAAGAAGTATACTTGTACAACTTTATGCAAAGGTATAAAGACAACTTATCTTCTACTTTAAAGAGTTAATTTTAAGATCTATAAACTTTGGCTTTTAGTTTAAGAGGTAGACTGAGCACATATACTTCTATCTACCTTTGTCAAAGCCCCTTTCACAGAAAATATATTTTATTTAAAAACAACAGGATAAGTTGTAACAGCTCGAAACAAATAAGAAAGGGTGCTTTCACTGAAGCAGGACATTTCAGAAGTCTCAGAAAGCAGGAAAAAAAGAGATATGAGGAAATTAACCAAAGACATTAAAAAAAGAAAACAAAAAACCCTAACATCTCCCAGCTCAAGACATTTTCAGAGTAAGTGTGAGTTTTCTCTAGAGAGCCCCAGAGAAGCTTTTACCCAGAAGTCAGCATATCCCCACTCCTGTGGCTATCATCAAAGGCAGAAATACAGGGCAATATATTGATGTAACTCATTAAAGAACTGTACTCACAAAGAAACAAACCACACACACACACAGCACAGCACAGCACAACGCAGCTTTTATTCTTATACCAACTGTTCTTTAAAGGAAGTGGCCTTGTTGACTGGAAAAGGCTCCAAATAAGGGTATTAAGCTAGAAAGAGAAGCTGTGGTGAAGCTAACTTGAAGCTTCAAAACCAACACAGAGAACAGAAAAGAAAAGCATCTCTTCCTGAAAGTAACCCCTTCCTTATTTGGCAGTTGTGTCATGACTGAACCCCCAACTCCAATACGTTCTCTGAACTGTGGCATACTGACAGTCCTTTCTTTGGTTGAAATAGTCCACAGAATGGTGGCCTGCCTAAGCCCACTTCTGTGACCTCTCCAGTTATACTACCCTAGTGCCCCTCTGTGATGGGGGCCTACCTATCATGCTCTCCATGAACTGGAGCTGCTCCTCCACGCCTATTCCCCATTCCAGTGTTGGCCTGGAGCACATGAAACTTGCACTACCTTTTAGACAACTCCATGGGGCTTGGATACCTTTGCAGGGGGCTAGTGTCTTTCATTTGATTTGTTTTTTTTTTCCATTTATTTTTATTAGTTGGAGGCTAATTACTTTACAATATTGTAGTGGTTTTTGCCATACATTGAAATGAATTAGCCATGGATTTACATGTATTCCCCATCCCGGTCCCCCCTCCCACCTCCCTCTCTACCCAATCCCACTGGGTCTTCCCAGTGCACCAGGCCCGAGCACTTGTCTCATGCATGCAACCTGGGCTGATAATCTGTTTCACCCTAGATAATATACATGTTTCGATGCTGTTCTCTCGAAACATCCCACCCTCGCCTTCTCCCACAGAGTCCAAAAGTCTGTTCTGTACATCTGTGTCTCTTTTTCTGTTTTGCATATAGGGTTATCGTTACCATCTTTCTAAATTTCATATATATGTGTTAGTCTACTGTATTGGTCTTTATCTTTCTGGCTTACTTCACTCTGTATAATGGGCTCCAGTTTCATCCATCTCATTAGAATTGATTCAAATGAATTCTTTTTAATGGCTGAGTAATATTCCATGGTGTATATGTACCACAGCTTGATTTGGTTTTCCCAGACTTCCACCACGCCCAGCCTCAGCTCTCTCCTCTCTGCCTGGTGTGGCTGCTCCCAACAGGTCTCAGGTCTGGTGAATATTCTCAGGACAACCTTCTGTCCCTCCACTTCCCCAGCCCCTCCCTCTCTTCCCTGTTCTCCCAGTCAGTCGATACCTTCACAACTTCATTGCCTCCTACTCAGTTAAAATCATGTTTCAACCTAAGCAAAACTTTATGCCAGAAGAATACAAGAGGGATTTAAAATCTGTTACTGAATGAACACATTTCTAAAGTATTGTATTAGGTTGTAAAGGGAACAGCTAAAGCCTTATAAGAGTTAAAAGTCTAATGTGAAAAAAATATTTTATTTTTATTGATATCAGAAAACTATCATTAAGTTTACCCTAAGATTACTGAGAGAAAAAACAAGAGGAAGTGGGAAAACATTATTTATAGTTCTTCCAGTATAATAATAGATGAAAAGAACAGGAAGGGATTTAAGTATATGTTGGTTTCCTGACTTCCTAAAATTATGACCTTTCAAAGACCACAAAAAAAGAGACATTGTCTTTTGATGAACATTACAATATTGATCACTTATAAAACACTGCTAGACGGCTAATTTACATTTTTCTGTAGCTGAATTGACAGTTTTAAAAAATATGCCTCTGATTCAGGAGACCCTCATTCATAAAAGGGCACTGGTATACCAAAGCCTCTCATTAAATCCCACAATTCAGTGGGTTGTTATTGTTGTTCAGTTGCTAAGTCGTGTCAGACTCTTTGTGACCCCATGGACTGTAGCAAGCCAGGCTCCTCTGTCCTCCATTATCTCCCAAAGTTTGCTCAAACTCATGTCCATTGAGTTGATGATGCTATCTAACCATCTCATCCTCTGCCGCCCCTTTCCCTTTTTGCCTTCAATCTTTCCAAGCATCAGGGTCTTTTCCAATGAGTTGGCTCTTTGCATCAGGTGGCCAAACTACTGAAGCTTCAGTGGGACTCTGGCTTAAAACAATAAAGAACAGATTTACAGTTTCCCACTCATACCCAATACCTTTTTCTTCTATTTAGAAGGTCATAAAGCTGTCCACAGTAGATTTCATAGAAGCTGATCCAAACAAAAAGATGCCTTCTTGGCTGGGACACTTCCAGTTGTCTGAAGATGTCTCTGGCAGCCAGAGCATACAGTCCTGGGTTCTGATGAGTTCCTATCATGGTATAGGTCTTTCCAGCACCTGTCTGTCCATATGAGAAGCAAGTGGCATTGCCTCTGGGGGAAGAATCATTTGTATTTACTTTTAAATTTTAAGAGAACTGCTAACACAGATTTTTAAATGACAAAAGTCAGGTAGAAAAAGAATCCTCCATAAAATTCAACTATAAAATATATGGTCCTTTAAGAAGAGGCCTTTACATTATAAAAATATAGGAGGAGGAAAAGAATTCTCAAAGCAGTATATAAGTTTTTTTAATAGAAAGTTTTCATGGAACTGGTACGACCATAAGACAACTCTAGAAGATATGGAAACAAAGACCCAATGTTAGGTGCTTTAGAGGATCCTTGAGGAAAAAAAAAATTGTGTTAATCCTTAAAGATAAGTTCAGTGAAAGAAGTAATAAAAAACTAAATATAATAAATAATAGAAGATCATACAATATGGTGGTGATCACTTATAAGGACATTAAGGAAGTTTAAACAGAGGTAAAATCAATTGAAGCAAAATATTTGAAGGAGGACTCACAAAAGACCTCTTATGGCCTTAGTTTTCACTTTCATCAATAAATTACGGGCTACTTGATTTTCAAGATCCCTTATAGCCCTGATGTCCTATGATTCTAAGTGGAAGCCACTGTTCCAGCATGTGGATATGTGTGTGTACACGAGCTGGATGGGTGTGAAAAACTGTAAAATAAGAGGTGGACAGAAAAGTTGAGAGACCAACCTGCCAGCCACAGTGTATTTTAGGAGGAGATGAGGCCAAGACTACCTGAGTACTATGGGATCCTATGTACTATGTAGTCCTAGTACTATTTAGTACTAAACAGAGAGTGAACATAATGTTATGCAGTAAGTAGCTAGATTCTTATACAGGCATCCTATAGACTGATGATAAAAGTAGCAAGAAAAATATTCTATTAATATGTATGGACACAGGGGAAGGGGAGGCTGGAGGTGGACAGAGAGATGAATACACAGAAAGGACATGAAGCCAGACAGAAACCAAAGAAACAGTGATTTGACAAGAGCAAAGGAATCATTGAAGTGTGAGAATCTAGACATGAGAGCAAATTAAATGTAAGCTGTTTAGAAGTAGAGACTGGTTGGTTACTCCTTGTCTTTTAAATCATGGCTCCCAACAGTGTGGGCACTTGAATACAGAGTCACAGTTGGGAAAAGAATTATAGGAAAAGAATTACAGTCACACAGGGAAAAGAATTACAGGAGAAAAATGTAAACACACTGAAGAAGATCTAACAGAATAAGAATAATAAAGAACAACATCTACCTTATCTTCTGAATATTTTTGTGATGAACTTTAAATTAAAAAAAAAAGACAAAGAAAGCTCTTACTACACATTATAGAACTTAACCTAATAATTTCACCTAACTTGTAACTCTCTTATTTTTTTACTGATGATGTCTTAACATTTAAATGTTAACTTATTTTAGAAACCTGCTCTCTCAAAATGCACTACTTAAGTTTGGTGCATAAGAAACTGAACCAGAAAGAAATTTCACTTTAACCTGTTCATAAAAAAAAACAAACTTCCATACAATCACAATAAAAAGACAACAAAAAACAGGCAAATAAAGATATCTGAGTGGCCAAATTAGCACACGAAATGATGCTCAGTGTTAGATCCTGGGGAAATGTAAATTTATTTAAAAAAAAAACAAAACACATAATGAGATATAGTTCCATACCCATTAAACTGGCTAGAATAAAAAAGATTGACCATATCAAATATGGTGAAAGTACAGAACTTCAATTCTCATACATCGCTGTTGGGAAAATAAAATAGAGCAAGGAAAATTGTTTGACACTTTCTTATAGACCTATCCAATGACCTGGTAATTCCATTTATGGATTTTTATTCAAGATAAATTAAGAGATGTCCATAAAAAGACTTGGATAAAAATGTTCATACAGCTTTACTCATAATACTCCAAAATTGGAAAGAACCCAAACGTCCATCAAAAGAAGAATGGATTTAAAAAAAAATGGAATATTTATAAAAGGAAATATTCCTCAGCAATAAAACTAGTTACATGCAACATGTACTAATATCAAAAAACATTATGCTAAGCAAAAGAAGCCAGGCATAAGATATACATTATAACGATCCTATTTCTATGACATTTTAGAATAGGCAAAACTAATCTACTGTGACAGAAAGCAAGTCAGTAGTTATATAAGACCTGGAGGTGACGGTGGAAGAACTTTCTGGGGTGATGGAAACATTCTGTATCTTATTCCGAATACTGGTTACTTGGATACATCAAAACTCATCAAACCTAAGTACTTCTTAAGATCTGTGCATCTTGATGTATGTAAATTATACTTCAATTTTTAAGTTATAAAAGTTATTTTAAAAAATAAAAGTAAAAATACCCTGAAATCAACTACCCAACATTTTCTACCTATACCTGACTACTACATATTTTAAATATATAACAGAGCCCCCCCCAAGTACCTACTCCGTCCCATTTAATGTTTACTAAGTGTGAATAATTATTTTTAAATTAAAAAATACATCTATGAAAAGTGAATGATAGTCACTTATCTATCCTACTTGAAAAAAAATTAATGAAACTATACCTAGAATACATAATTCCTATTAGCAAAAGTTCAAACTAATTACAACCACATACATCTTTTTATTCTAAGGACTTTGATAAAATAATATTGTTGGCAGCTTATATTTTTCCACTAAGCACAAAGAATCAATATCATCAATGTAAATGAAAATTTTGCTGAATATTTCTAAATGTTTTGTGAATCCTATAAGGAGAGACATGGAATTTTCCAGAAGAGTCTAATTTAAATTCATTAGGTCAAAACACAATTTCATATTTAATTCAAAATAATAGAAAAGCATAAGTAATATTTACAAAGAAATAAGATTTATGGAAAATATAAAATAAAAGGCAAGAAGAGCAAATAATTTCTATCGTACCCATTGAAAATATGCTGAATGAGTGGGTGAGTAGTCTTCATGTAAATATCTTGATTGGTGCACGCCTCATCAAAGATTTCATCAAAATAAAAAACATGCTGAAAAAGAAATTTGATTTTTACAGAAAGAGATACGTTCTGGATTTTCTTCAACACTATTCTAGTTGACACATGATAAAGGTGCAAATACCTTTTTAACTAATAGTTAACTGTCCATGAGAAATTCAGAGATAAAAGCAATCATCAACAGTCAAATGACAGGGCCAAGTTTTACTTGAGATCTCTGTAGACATGTTCTTATACTGTAAAAACCAAGCCACATGATTTCTGTTCTCTCTTAAGGGAAGTAGATTAATGAGTGCTAACAGTGAGCCAATCCTCCTTAAGTCTAGGAGAGGAACTGAATTCTATGGAGGTTATTCTCACAGCCCAGCCTGAGCACGTGGGAAACATGAGCAAAGAGGCAAAGCAGGAAAGCACAAAGAATGTTCAGAAGACAGGGAGGATTTACTGTGTTTGAAATACAGGATACTGGCAGGTAGAAAAGTGAAATAGCAGGTAAGAATAAGGAGTTAGGACTATACTGTAGGGGCTCTGGGACACCAGCATTAAGGGAGAGGAGGGAACGCTTACATGTAATTTAGCAAAAGTGGAAAGGCAAAAAACTTTGCAAAAGAGAGGGGTGAGCCGAGCCATTTTATTGGAAGACTAATCTGCCTTATATTGTGCATGTATTGGAAACATGAACACTAGCGCTTAGGTTAAAGAAAGAAAGAAAAGGGAATTTGTTCAGTCATGTTCCACTCTTTGAGACCCCATGGGCTGAAGCCTAACAGGCTCCTCCATCCATGGAATTCTAGGTTAGGTTAAGAAGGGTCTAAATTAGACAATGACAATGGAAATAAAAAGACATGAGCGCATGAGAAATTTGGCAGCTGACTGGATGTGATAGCTGGGGAGAGAAAGGAATCCAAGATTATTCCCAAATGAAAAGCCACGGTAATCTGAAAGAGGAGAGTAGGAGACCCCATTAAGTTGGGTCTGGAAAGCATTAGTTCAGCAACCATAATTATTTCCATAATTTAGAGGCTTACCATGTTGGCAGCCCAACTATATCTGGGTAAAAAATCCTAATAATTTCAAGTCTGACTGTAGTATCATAATGGCAGCCCACACATAATGAATGAGAGATGAAGTCATATTTTATGCTACCTTTTGGGCCTACTCTAAATATTCAGTTAAGAAAAAATTTTATGGGGAAATTTTTTTTTGCAATAAACAAAACTTTTCTTCAAACAACTGCAGTACAGGGCACAATAAAAAAAAATGGAAAGGAAACAGGAAAAATATTTTTAGCATTTTACATCTTCATACAAGTGTTATGGTTTTGTGTCTACATTCATCCATTGAGCTTCAAATCCCCTAGATTTGACATCTTTCAGCAAAATGAGAACACTAACATAGAAGGTTTTTTTTTAACAAAGGTCCATGTTCTAGCTTTGGTTTTTCCCTAATTTTAAAACAAGGTCTGTCTGCATCTTGAGCTGCTTCTCTGGTAGAAATGGGCTTAAGCCAGTTTACTATGGGTCACTGCACCCCAAGTATGATTCTGATTCATATACATTACTTTAGAATGGAAATCTGTTAGGTCATTTGAGAAGAAATTGGAGCCACAAAGCCAGATTTATCGATAGAAAAAATTCTCCAGGGAATCCCTTGGCCGCCCAGTGGTTAGGGCTCCAGCTTCTACTGCATGGGTAGGGAACTAAGGTCCCTCAAGCTGCACACTGTGGCCAAAAAAAGGAGAGAAACAAGTCTCCGGAAGTCAGGAAGTGAGAAAGACATGAACCTGTGCAGCATGACAGAGAGATCTGTGAACATTTAGTGTTCTGAAAAATGTGACTGATTTTAAGAACACTAAAATGTAACTTTGAAGCTGGGTCATAGGTAGATGGTCATATAGGTCATATAGATACATTATACTTTTGATTAGGCTTGAAAATGGCAATAATAAAGAGCAAAATACATTTCTAAAATCTGATTTTAATGGACATGATTTATATCTAACTCATAAACAGGTCTTTAAGCAAGGAGACAAATCCATTCTTTGCTCAAAAATCACTGTAGGTTTTTATAGTTAAGTATGATATCAAAAGCATCTTTGGCATTTCTCAGGAAAATTTTTAAAAATGAAGAGAAATAAATGTGGGAATAAACTGGTTTTGGTTTTCTTTTATTTCACTGAGCATATGGCTATTCTCCTCTTTCTATAAGTGCTCTTGGGTAAACACTTTTGAAAGCATTCATTCATTATAGGAATTAGTATCTTTCCATCTAACAGAACTGAAGATTCATTTTTCATGGCAAACTGATGGGGAAAAAATGGAAACAGTTGCAGATTTTATTTTCCTGGGTTCCAAAATCACAGTGGACAGTGACTGCAGCCATGAAAGTAAAAGACACTTCCTCCTTAGAAGTACAGTTATGACAAAACTAGATAGCGTATTAAAAAGCAGAGACAACACTTTGCTGACAAAGGTCCATAATAGTCAAAGCTATGGTTTTTCCAGTGGTCATATACCAATGGGAGAATTGGACCATAAAGGCTGAGCGCCGAAGAATTGATGCTTTTGAATTGTGGTGCTCAGGAACAATGTTGAGAGTCCCTTGGACTGCAAGGAGATCAAAGCAGTCAACCCTAAAGGAAATCAACCTTGAACACTCGTTGAAAGGACTGATACTGAAGCTGAAGCTCCAATACTTTGGCCACCTGATGAGAAGAGCCGACTCATTGCCAAAGACCCTGATCCTGGGAAGAATTGAGGGCAGAAGGAGAAGAGAGCAACAGAGGATGAGATGGTTGGATGGCATCATTGACTCCAGTTGGTGATGCCATCAAACTCAATGAGCTTGAGCAAACTCCGGGAGATAGTGAAAAACAGGGAAGACTGGCGTGCTGCAGTCCATGAGGTTGCAAAGAATCAGACACAACTTAGCAACTGAACAACAATTTTTCCTTCCAATAGAACTAAAGTATTGATTTTTCCAATACTTCTGTAAGAATCTCTCATGAAAGATATGTAAACATGCAAGATTACTATTGTAATTCACAGTCCCCTGCATCATATACACTTTCATTTGACCATATTTTATCAATGAAGTTTGATTAACATTCACTTCATGGAGTTCCCTGGTGGCTTAATGGTTAGAATTTGGGCTTTCACTGCTGTGGCCTGGATTCAATCCCAGGCCAGGAACTGAGAGCCTGCAAGCTGCTCTGGGTGCAGCCAAAAAAATTAAAAATCACTTTAGCCTTGATATGATATGAGTTGCATAGCTTATTTTTTAAAGAAGTTTTTTTTTTTCAGATTATAAATGTATTTCTAAAATATCTCTGGAAAGATACACTTAGAATACCGGTTGTCTTCAAGGACAAAATGAGATTAGAGACACTCTTCATAGCATGATCTATATCCTATTCAAAAGTTCTGATTTTATTGATATAAGAGTAATAATGCTGATTGCAGAAAAAAAAGTTAAACATGGATTACAACAGATAAGAAAATCATATTATCTGTAAATCTTATTACCCTGAGATGGCCACTGCTGGCTTTGATATATTTCAGTACCATCTTTTTTTAATCTCTATATATTTTCCTTTATTTAAGAAATTGGGGATGAAAGAAACAGGTCTGTTTCCTTGTTTTTTCCACTCATTATGTTGCTATCATAAAATTTAATGGTTAAGTATGACAACACAATGTATGTATATGATCACATATACTAAGTAACAAAAGATCTGAAAGGATAAGATATTTAATTAAAGGACACATAAACCTATTGTTTGAATACCTAAATAAGATTAAAAATAAAACCCAAAGAATCTAGGATCAATATGTACTTGCTATGTTTGCTATGAACCTCCCTTTTCTTTTTTCTACTTAAGGAAGAAAGGTGGGGGTGGGGTGGGGGCGGGGAAGGCCTCTCAACACATATTATAAGCATTGACAAGTAAGGAGTTTGACCTATGACAGCAAAGGTCCAAAGTTCAAACAGCAGAGAAAGAGCTATGGAAACTATGGATATTCAATAAGTATTGACCAATGGTAATGACAAAGAAGTAAGGTTATTGTGTTTTGGGATAATGGAAAAATACAAAAGATAAAATGATGCCTCCTTGAGGGAATTACTGTGACAGAAGCATCATTAAGGCAGTCTTGGGTAGATGGTGACTGGATAGGGCTATTACTATGGCTATAAGTAGCCATGGAATTAGATAGCATTACAACTAATTGGTCATTTGGACCATCTTCAATATAAATACCTCCCACCTAGACCTAATAGATTGTGCACTGACCAGCAATCGATAAGGCTGTTAAAGTGATTGAGTTGGTTAGACAGTGGCCTAGTAATTTACTGCCCATAGAAAGACCCTGTGGATTGCTTTGACTGTTACTGAGAAACCCAATTTTGGTAAGCAAAGAAAACAAAGAACAATGCAAGTATTAAAGAGGGGACAGTATTAACAACTTGACTTCAGTGTTAAAGGATTTATTTTAGTAGAATAAAATCTCAGCTGACCAAGGTGAATTGTCTGCACACCAGATTACTCACCACCTTTTTTTTTTCTTCCTACTAATCACTGGGTTTTGTACTTTTTTTTTTTCTTACACCACTTGGCTTGCAGGATCTCAGTTTGCTGACTAGGGAATGAGTCCAGGCCACAGCAGTGAAAATGCCAAATCCTAACCATGAGACCACCAGGGAACTCTAAGTCACTGAGTTTTGAAGCGAGAGACAGAGAGAACAGAATGGACATAATATGAACATTTAGGGAGGCAGATTCAGAGTAAGAGAAACTCTGAATTCCCAGATCTTAACAGATTATTCACAATTGCTTCATAATTTTAAGAGTGCCTAAATTATAGTATCTTCCATTAATGGGGTTTGCTGCTTTCATAAGAGACTGAAGGAATTATTGAAAGGGTACCTAAGAGCTGGGAATAAATTCATTTTGATATCAAATCATAATCATCCTGGCAGGCAGCGAACATTTCTTAATGTGTTTGAGCTACCAGTGTTTTACTTAAACCCATACATGTTCAATGTGAAATCACATTCCTGGATCTTTACTCACTGCAATCCACCTTATACAAAGTGGCCTGCTCAGGAACCCAATTTCTACCAACTTAACTCTATGCCTAAACATAATTAAGAATCAAAATAAGCAGCTGGCTGGCAACCTGGGGCCATGCTGCTCTCCATCTTTAAACTCCAGACTTACACTCAGCAGAGTAAGTTCACACTGAGAGACAGGAGAGAACTGAGACTATGTGACCATCTCACAGTTGGTCTGGGGCAACTCAGTGACTGTCCTTCCTACCAGCAGTTCATTATTTAAACTCTTTTTATTCTCCCATTTGCTCTTTTATGACTAAATATGTATAATTAAATTCACATAAAGCATGGTAAGTGAATGTACAATGCAACTCTATTGCATGAGAGAGGAGGAATTATGCTTGCGTTATCTCCTACTGCACTATATTTTTTAAAAATGAAGGCTAAGTGTTATCAGTGATTAATGCAGTGTCACAAAGAATGAATGCCAACACTCAAACCTAAAAACTGAATTTCAGAATCTGTACTGCTATTCAAACAAAAAACTTGACACTTGATAATGTTAGTTTCATAGAAGGAAAGTATCATACCTGTAGAATATATTGTGTGAGGTCAACTGCTTCTTTCTTCTCATGAACAAGTAGAGTTTCTTTATCTTTAACAGTAATAATGTTGATTTCTCCACGACGTACCTCCCTCATGCCCAGAGGGCGTTTTCGAACACAAACTCTGATTTTCTCCATCTCAGTCCAAGGATTCTCTTTCTCTGAAGTGTTCTGTCTGATATATGTTTATAAGTGGGCTTTAATTTTTAGTTAATGGGATAAAGCTACCTAAGAGGTCAAAGTATCAGTATATTTTGTTATATATTAGGTGTAACACAAACACACACACACATATACACACAATATCTGTTATATACTAAAGTGCTGACACTGAGAAAGCTCTTTCATTAGCTCGAAATCCTCCTGATTTACTTCTATATCCATCTCTACTCAATCCCACTCAAATGCAAATTTCTTGCTTCCTTTCAATCCTTATTATTATACATTTGCTGTTTTCTTGACCATTCAATCTAATTTTGATTTTTTATCCTACCTGGGTTTATTAAATAACTTGAATTTGGTGGTAGGTTTCAATGTATTTTCCCCATGTTTCTCCTAGGTATATTCTGACCCTCCCTTTGTCTTTCTTGCTTCCTTTTTTTGGCCTACCCTGATATGTATTTATTTGTCAGAACACGATCCTACTCCCAGGATGATTTTATGACTGGTGCTGCCCACCGTTAATTCTTCCTTCTATTCAGACACATTTCTTCTCTGGCTGTGTTCAGTGAACTCATCCACCTTAACATCCAGAAGAGAGGCAATATTCCTTGGGTTAAGAGTACAAAATTCATCAGGTTTACTAGCTGAGTCTAATGGTGGCATATATGATACATCTAAGCACTGACCACTTTACCTATGCAGAAACGCCTCTTAAGCAAGGTAACAAGAAAAGAGAATCCTTGAAAGTAGACGTTTTACCAAGACCAATGCCTTTGGCACATATACTTAGAATGTCTTAGAGAGACAAATCATTCCCTTCCTTTACACTTTAGAATTTGATTAATAGCCCCTAAACAGCCTTTTATAATAGATTTTACACAGGATATTTCACTATATAATTGTTTCATATCAATTTCAATTTTCTGAGACCTCCAACTGGCTGGAAAATTATTTTTCACCAGGATCTAAATTAGTAAAACGTAGGAAATAAAATTTCTAATATAATGCATAAAAAACTACTCAAGGCTTTTGAAGCATGTTATTATTTTTTTTAACCAATGTATAGTAGACATCTAAAAAAAGAACCATTTTGACATGAAGTATGGCAAAATCCTGACAATCATTAAAAGTGAATGGCAGGCATGTGGGGCTTCATTGTTGTATTTTCTCTTCTTTTGCATGTGTTTTATTTTTTATAAGAAAAAAACAAACTTTCTTTGGGCTTTTTTGGACCATGCTGTGGGGTTTGCAGGATCTCAGTTCCCCAACCAGGACTGAACCCAGGCCGAGCAGTGAAAGTACTGAGTCTTAAACATTGGGCTACTGGGAATTTCTCAGAATAAAACACATTTTTAATGCATCCTAAAAGGTTCTAGCTTGTTTCTTTTTTTAAGGATCTAGTTTTAATGTGCAATATTCCCTAGAAGAAATAAACTATATCTGTCTGAAATGCAAAGTTAAGATAGCTAGAGTTAGGTCTGTTCACGATCTTAAATAAGTCAGGACAACCAGTCCTCTAAATGCCTTAGACTTTTATTAAAATTCAGAATCCAATAAGTTATTTTGAACTTACCTAATTTGAGGTATCCAAAGAGAATGCTCTTCAGGTAGGGATGACTCACCAACAGGAAGCTTCAAGTTGGTGAGAGAATTTCTCAGGGTTCTGAAACTCTGGCTCCTACTTAGGATTTAGGGGAGAAGACAATACTGGGAATTACTGAGACAATGAACTTTCCTAACCTCTATTTCTCTAATATAATAAGGAATGGAAAGAGTAAGATGATATAAAAGGTGAGAAAGCTCAATTGAACACCTTTCATCCTGGGTCTGCCATGTATAAACCTCTGTGAGAGCACTTAGCTCACTCTATGGTTGTCTGACTTTCCATTCACCCTGCCCACTAAGAGTCTCAGAGTCTCCAAATATTCTAATGATCTTTATATCTAGAATCAGGACAGGCAGAGGGGGTATTCTATATATGCGAAATAAATAAAGCAGCAACATTTAAACTAAAATATCCATTCTATCTAAATAAATAATGGAAAGTCATATCTTCATTCTATTTATAAATAATTCCAATTTATATTTTTATATGTTGTTCAATAAAAGATTAACCTTCAAAAAAGTACTTGTTCTTTCACCACTGAGCTAACTAAAAGAACAGCAACAATCATGGCATTGATGGTCATAGAACAATCTAGTCCTTTCACAACTAAAAGAAGAAAAAAATACTACATGCTCTGTGCTTTGCTAAACCAAGCCAAAAAAAAATTTTTTTTCAGAAACACTATAGAATTCATTTATGTATTTCAAATTACTAAAGGTATTTTTACCTTTAAAATTGGGTCCTCTATTCTTTTAGAATAAAAGAACTGGTTGATTATGAAATCCTCTGAAACCTTAGCTAATATAAAACCATATGGAAATACTTTGTTTTAAGGTATGAATAATAGCCCTTATTTTTTAAGTGGCTTAAGAATGTATTTTGTTTCTCCACAACTCACCAACCGTAACTTAAAATAACAAAACAGGCAATACACATTATTTTTAAAAGAATGTATTTTCTATTATACCAAGGTTAGTATTAGGGATTACTTGATATTTCAACTCTTAGGGACCTTTCTCAAATTCTAACTCAAAGCACTAAGTGAAAATAACTTATTGTCACTCTGGCTCCCAAACTCTAAATGCTATCAAAAGTATCTTACTCTTTGCAATGACCAAACTCATCTGTTCTTCCAGGGCTGGAACTGTAAAAAGCACTCAAAATCAGGATCATATTTCAAATTTTGCAGGTAAATCAACTGCTCCAAAGACCTATTGAATTCAACTAGCTGAATTAAACTGTTTTTTTTTTTAAAAAAAAAACTAAGCTTCATGACCCCTGGTTGAAGTTAATGTGATAGTCTTAAAAAAAAAAAAATCCTGTGGATTTTGTAAATTTTTTTTTTCTACTTCAGAGGCAAGTTAACTGTTTTATCTTCATGGATGCACTAGATATATCATGTCATGCTAATAAAAACAGGTCTGCAGCAGACCCTGGTAAGTAGCAGCTGCTTGATGCACATGAACAATATCATCTTTCTCCCATCTGTAAAGTCCAAATTCCTCATCAATTTCCCCCAGTCAAGGTATCTGCATTATCACCACAGAAGCTGTTCACTATTATTTTCTGTAAATATGGAGTAGTTGGTCTCCTCTGGTCATGGGGAACCCTGCCCTTGCCTAAGGCTCCCTTCCCTCCAGAAAAAAAAAAAAAAAAGAAAAAGATAAAAATTTATTACCTGATATAGGAATGAGGAATTCCATAGTTATACCCTGAAACATGAGAGACTCTTTGAATAACTGAACTATCACAATCCCCCTGTACTGGAGAAAAGTGATTTGATGAAAAGCGTGAAGTCTTAGCTTCTTTTTGTATGTAGGAATCAGCAGCTGTGGCATTCAGAATTCCTGTTTGTATATGGTACTGGGAATCATCTGGTAGCATGTGCTCCAGTACTTCTATGTAGTTAGACTTCTGTTCACCTGCAGAAAAATCTGATAAATCACACAGTTCAAACTGATTGTTGCTGGTAGTTCTGTCTTTGTTGTCAGCAGGAGAATCAAAATGCAGTTGCCTGCGAGGGCCACATCTGGATTTCTGAGGCTTGACACACAGACTGCTTGTCTGAAGATGATAGTCTGGGCTACTGACTGCTTTATCTTCTTCCTGCATAATCTTAATGATTTTGATAAGTTGGAAGAGACGTTTGCGGTCATTCATGTCATGGACTCCCAATTTGGAGTAGTCCTTCATTGTAACGTTGGCTAATTCATCTATTTTCTGAAGGCCAAGGGCAGTAAAATGAGGATAATACTGTGCTAGTTCAGCTTCACAAAGACATTCATACAACCAGGATGTCATTTTTGTGAACGGGTTTCTATAAACTCTGAAGAGAAAAAAAAATTCATTCACTTGAAATATAGTATATATAATACAATTATTCCTTAAAAAAAAAAAAAACACAAAAGAAATATGCAGCAAAATCCATTCCAGCATTCCAGGTTTTCAATAAATACGTTTTTCTTTTAAAATGATTAAATAGCATAATGTGTAAACATGTTTATAATGCATTTGTAGTAATTTGTCCTTTGCTTAATAAAAAGAGATTTTCAATTATGTATATACATAGGTACATGCACACACGCATAACACAAATCACTTACTTATTTCTAGGGAGTTCCTTCCAACCTTGCAATGTCTACTTAACATATACCACAAACTACTGAAACCTTCTCCCCAACTGCTGATTGTTACAGGACTAATTTTAGATGTTCAAGTTAATGTTACAGGCATGTGGCACAACTGTTCCCCATGATTAACGAACAAAAGCTAAGAACTGTTTCAAAATGGAAAGCAGAATTAAATAGTGACTCACAGAGGATCATGAATATAATTCAGAGAAAATCACATTTGTATATACTGAGTACTGGTAGAAGTTAGTTGAACAAAGAAGTAAAAACATCATTTAGAATCTACTAATTCAGGATTTCAGATCATTCTAAAAGGCAGGTGTTTGTAGATGTCTACCTATATACAGAACATGAATAAAATGATTTACCTAGGAAATTAATACCATGGTCAAAAATTTTAATGGCTATACATTAAAATGTTTAAAAAATTTAACACAAGCTATTTAGTTAAATACTAACAAATGATGTAGTAATAACACATAATCCTAGTCTATTATTAAAGTCAGGACCCTGAGTTGTTCTTCCTATCACTGTTAATCAAGTTCAAGTTCATAAGAATATTGAAAAGTAAGTAAACTACATTTTCTCTAAAAAATTTTTTTTAATAATTCAGAGTTTTCAAAATTCTTTTATGTTTTTCATTTTAATTTATATTTTATCTTCCTTCTAGGAGAAACAGAAAAAGAGGTCAGGGCCAGGTAAAAGTAGTAATTAAAGGACCCTGAGTAATAAACTTTGGAGGAAATACTTCTTAGGGTACAGAAATGGTCAAAGGGGCTAAAAAGCACATTCTAAACTCATCCCGCCCTTTTCCATTTGTGGTAGATGGAAAAAGAAAAATTCTTTGCAGGCCCTTCCACCAAGAGATGAAATTTACTTCTGTTGCATTTAGGCTGGCCTTGTGACATGTTTTGGCCAACAGAAAGTGGTGGAAATGACACTATGTGACTCATATGCCTAGTCAAGAGCCCTTGACTGTTGCCAGTCACTAAGTCATGTCCGACTCTGCAACCCTGTGGACTGAGCACTCCAGGCTTCCCAGTTCTACACTATCTCCTGGAGTTCGCTCAAACTCATGTCCATCGAATCAGTGACCATCCAACCATCTCATCCTCTGCCACCTTCTCCTGCCTTCAATCTTTCCCAACATCAGGACATTTTCCAATGAGTCTGCTCTTTCCATCATGTGGCTTAAGTATTGGAGCTTCAGCTTCAGCATTAGTTCTTCCAATGAATATTCAGAACTGATTTCCTTTAGGATTGACTGGTTTGAACTCCTTGCAGCCCACGGGACTCTCAAGAGTCCTCTTCAACACCATAGTTTAAAAGCATCAATTCTTTGAGATAGTGATGGACAGGGAAGCCTGGCGTGCTGCAGTCCATGGGGTCGCAGGGAGTTGGACACGACTGAGCGACTGAACTAAACTGACAGCCTTCTTTATGGTCCAACTCGCACATCCGTCCATAATTACTGGATAAACCATAGCTTTGACAATACGGACCTTTGTCGGCAAAGTGATGTCTCTGCTTTTTAATCCACTGTCTAGGTTTTTTCATAGCTTTTCTTCCAAGGAGCAAGCGTTTTTTAATTTCATGGCTGTAGTCACCATCCACAGTAATTAAGAAAATAAAGTTTGTCACTGTTTGCATTGTTTCCTTATCTATTTGCCATGAAGTCATGGGACCAGATGCCATTATCTTAGTTTTTTGAATGTTGAGTTTCAAAGCCAGCTTTTTCACTCTCCTCTTTCACCTTCATCAAGAGGTTCATTAGTTCCTCTTTGATTCCTACCGTAAGGGTGGTGCCATCTGCACATCTGAGGTTGTTGATATATCTCCCAGCAATCTTGATTCCAGCTCCTGTGTCATCCAGCCCAACATTTCACATGAAGTACTCTGCATAGAAGTTAAATAAGCTGGGTGACAATATACAGTCTTAACATACTTCTTTTCCAATTTTGAACCAATCTGTTGTTCCATGTCTGGTACCAACTGTTGCTTCTTGGCCTTTATACAGGTTTATCAGGACACAGGTAAAGTTATCTGGTACTCCCATCTCTTTAAGAATTTTCCATAGTTTGTTGTAATCCACACAAAGTCTTTAGTGTAGTCAGTGAAGAAGATGTTTTTCTGGAATTCCCTTGCTTTCTCCATTGGCAATTTAATCTCTGGTTCCTCTGCCTTTTTTAAAACCAGCTTGTACATCTCTAAGTTTTCAGTTCACACATTGCTGAAACCTAGCTTGAAGCATTTTGAGCATAACCTTGCTAGCATGTGAAATGAACACAGTTGTACGGTAGCTTGAATATTCTTTGGCATTGCCTTTCTTTAAGAATGGAATGAAAACTGACCTTTTCCAGTCCTGTGGCCACTGCTGAGTTTTCCAAATTTGCTAACATACTGAGTGCAGCACTTAAACAGCATCATCGTTTAGGACTTGAAATAGCTCAGCTGGAATTTCATCATCTCCTCTAGTTTTGTTCGTAGTGATGCTTCTGAAGGCCCCCTTGACTTCACATTCCAGGATGTCTGGCTCTAGGTGAGTGATCACACCATCGTGGTTATCCAAGTCATTAAGACCATTTTTGTATAGTTCTTCTGTGTATTCTTGCCACCTCTTCTTAACCTCTTCTGCTTTTGTTAGGTCCTTAATGTTTCTGTCCTTTATCATGCTCATCCTTGCATGAAATGTTCCCTTGATACCTCCAGTTTTCTCAGAGATCTCTAGTCTTTCCCATTCTATTGTTTTCCTCTATTTCTCTGCATTGTTCATTGAAGAAGGCCTTTCATCTCTCCTTGCTATTCTCTGAAACTCTGTATTCAGCTGGGTAAATCTTTCCCTTTCTCCCTTGCCTTTTCTTTCTATTCTTTCCTCAGCTATTTGTAAAGCCTCCCCAGACAACTGCTTTACCTTCTTGCATTTCTTTTTCTTGGGGATGTTTTTGGTCACTGGCTCCTGTACAATGTTATGAATCTCTGTCCACAGTTCTTCAGGCACTCTGTCTACCAGATCTAATCCCTTGAATCAATCTGTCACCTCTAATGTATAATAATAAAGGATTTAATTTAGGTCATACCTTAATGGCCTAGTGGTTTTCCCTACTTTCTTCAATTTAAGCCTGAATTTTTCAATGAGGAGCTCATGATCTGAGCCATGGTCAGCTCCAGGTCTTGTTCCTGCTAAGTGTATAGCATTTCTCTATCTTTGGCTACAAAGAACATAATCAATCTGATTTTGGTACTGACCATCTGGTGATGTCCATGTATAGAGCCGTCTCTTGTGTTGTTGGAAAAGGGTGTTTGGTATGATGAGCATGTTCTTTTAACAAGACTCTGTTAGCCTTTGCCCTGCTTCATTTTGTACTTCAAGGCCAAACTTACTTGTTATTCTGGGTTATCTCTTGACTTCCTACTTTTGCATTCCAATCCCTATGATTACACAGACATCTTTTTTTTAATGTCAGTTCTAGAGGTTTTATAGGTCTTCATGGAACCATTCAACATCAGCTTCTTCAGCATCAGTAGTTGGGGCACAGACTTGAATTACTGTAATACTGAATGGTTTACCTTGGAAACGAAATGAGACCATTCTGTTGTTTTTGAGATTGCACCCAAGCACTGGATTTCAGATTCTTTTGTTGACTATGAGGGCTACTCCATTTCTTCTAAGGGATTCTTGCCCACAGTAGTAAATATAATGGTCATCTGAATTAAATTTGCCAATTCTCATCCATTTTAGTTCAGTGATTCCTAAAGATGTTGATGATGTTCAACCTTGCCATCTCCTGCTTGACCATGTCCAATTTACCTTGATTCATGGACCTAACATTGCAGGTTCCTATGCAATACTGTTCTTTAAAACATTAGACTTTACTTTCACCACCAGACACGTCCACAACTGAGCGTTGTTTCCTCTTGGCCCAGCTGCTTCATTCTATCTGGAGCTATTAGTAATTGCCCTCCGTTCTTCTCCAGTAGCATACTGGACACCTTCCATCCTGAGGGGTCAGGTAATCTTCCAGTGTCATATCTTTTTGCTTTTATATACTGTTCATGTTCTCGCGGCGAGAATACTGGACTGGGTTGCCATTTCCTCCTCCACTGGATGTTCGGTCAGAACTCTTCACTGTGACCCATCCGTCTTGGGTGGCCCTGCACAGCATGGCTCATAGCTTTACTGAGTTATGAAAGCCCCTTCACCACAACAAGGCTGTGATCCACTTTGCTGTACATCAAAAACTAATACAACATTGTGAATCAACTGTACTCCAATAAAAATTTTAAAAATAGATATGCTTTGTATAACATTTCTTTCCATGTCACAAAAGTCCAGCTCCTCTCTTCTTCTGGGATAATGATCAGAATCACTCCAGGAACTTTAAGAAATATAGATACCTGAGCCCCATCCCAGATACATAAGAAAACAAAAAAAACAGGGACTTCCCTGGTGGTCCAGTTGTTAAGAATCTGCTTCCCAATGCAGGAGACACGGGTTTGATCTCGGTTCAAGAAGATTCCACACACCATGGAGCAACTAAGCCCCTGTACCACGACTACTGAGCCTGTGCTCTAGAGCCCAAGATCTGCAACTACTGAAACCTGCACACTCTAGAGTCTGCGCTCTGCAACAAGAGAAGCCACCTCAATGAGAAGGCCGTGCACCACAACTTG